CCTCCGACCACCACCAGCAGGCAAGGTGGGTTAAGTGTCTTGCCCAAGGACACAACAGCAGAATTCTCTGTCCGGAGCCGGGATCGAACCTGCAACCTTCCGATTACTGGACAACCTGCTCAACCTGCTGGTGAAAAAGACTCAAGGTGAAAAAGTGATTTTAGGTGATGTCTCTAGTAGGAGTTTGACACTGGAGCTTTATTTGAAATTCTCATTTACAGGATCAGTAAAATAATTCAAACGCATCAAACACGATGCTCATTTCATAACATTGAGCTTTATGGGACGGGGCGGGCTTAAACAAATAAATAAATAAAAAAGATGTATTCCTACATTAAATGATAGTACATGATAAGACAATCACTTTTATGGATTTCTGACAAATCACACATAATTCCTGAAAGGGAAAAACTCTGGTTAGCTACTGTGAGAGAACCACTTCATTCATTTTTTGTGTTTTTTTTTCTACACAATATATTTATAGCTATTGTGTTATGTGCTACTGTGTTAGGTTGTTGTTAAGAAGCATGAAAACAAATGTTAAAAGCTAAATTGTTTCCAAAATTAACCACAGCAGCTTTAATACAAAATGACTTTTCTTCTGCACATTCAATTCAAGTTTATTTATGTAGCGCCAAATCACGACAAGAGTCGTCTCAAGGCACTTCACATAGTAAACATTCCAATACAGGTCAGTGCATTAAGCCAATCAGAAATAATGTTTCCTATATAAGGAACCCAGCAAATTGCATCAAGTCACTGACTAGTGTCAGTGACTTGATGCAATCCTCATACTAAGCAAGCATAAAGCGACAGTGGAGAGGAAAACTCCCTTTTAACAGGAAGAAACCTCCAGAGAATCCTGGCTCAGTATAAGCAGCCATCCTCCACGACTCACTGGGGATCGAGAAGACCGAGCAGATGCGCACACACACACGCGCGCGCACACACACACACACACACACACACACACACACACACACACGACAAAGTAATGTGTCTATAGTTACATTGTGATTTCTTAGTAAATATTGTATTTGGTGAGAGATAAACTTTATTGTATTTATCCTAGTGGATCTGTAATTAAACGGATAAACTAGTAGTAGCACATCCAACGTCAAGGAAAGCAAAAAGTTATTATCAGGAGAGGGAGAAAGTTTAAGTGGTTAGCAGCAGTGTGCTAGTCGATGGCCCCCACCATGAGGCCACCACAGCTCAGCAGAACACCGTTGTAGCTTCTTCTGGGGAGAAAAACACTTAGAGAAAAAATAAAGTTAATAGCTGAAATTACAGAAAATAATACAGTTAAAGAGCAGACTGTAGAAGAAAGCAGTAGAGTGTGGAAAGTGGTCAGTGTATCCTCCAGCAGTCTAAGTGTGGCAAGGTGGATAAATGAGGGCCCGGGCGGGATTCGATCCCCAGACTCCCGGGTGAGAGTCATACGCTCTAACCAGTCAGTCAAAGGGACATCCCCTTGGCCAAGTAGCCAGGGCGCATGATCAACCGGGACACTGTGACAGCACACTCACACTGTCACATGATTGTAGTGGGATGAGTCACCTGCCACCGAGTAATTGGACGACCTATCATTGAGGGAAGGCGCTCATATAAATAGGGCCTGAGGTGGCGCTACAGCGATCTTTTACTTTGGCTTAACTTCCGCTTCATGTGTGAAGAGCTGTTGTGTACGGGACTCCGGCGTGTCGGACTGAATTGTTGTATGTGGTCCTCCCAGAGTAACGGAAGGCTTCTTTTATCCTATGTGCTTCAAAGAAGTGATCCAGGAAGGGGTGTGTCTCCACAGGAGACTCTGTTGTTCTGCTGTTCTGCTGCTTTTCTGCACAGTTTCGTGAGATCTCTGTTACCGGTTGTTGACCCGGTGCTGGACCATCATCCGGCTCCAAGACCTCTCCACCCCGCTGCTCGGACTGGTTGACGGGATCAGCGGAGACCATCGGGAGCGGCTTTGTCACTCGCTCCTCTGTACCGTATACCAGCAGAGGGCGTACACCCGCTGTGGGGTTGGGTATTCTAACGAGGGGCTGCGGGCCCTACCGGCAGTTGTCGTCTGCCCGGGAGCTCATAAGGACGGCTGAGGCGCAGGCTAATAGACTTGTGTGCAGGCGAGCTGTATGCTCGCTCATTCCCTGACGGCCTGCCTGCTCAGTCGTGTGTGTGTGTGTGTGTGTGTGTGTGTGTGTGTGTGTGTGTGTGTGTGTGTGTGTGTGTGTGTGTGTGTGTGTATTTTTACTGTTTTCTGTTTTCTTTTCATTTAGGCTGTGAGCTGACAGTGGTGGTCGAGCCCTGGTGGTGGTCCTTTTGATGGTGTGCGTGTGCTCCAGAGTCACTTCACCCCCCGAATGCATGCACGTGTGATTGGGGTGAAATTACTTGTGGTTGGTATTTAGTTCTGGGCTCTCTTAGGCAGCCCCATTAGTCAGCCTCAGCCTAAGTTGATTTGGTTTTAAGCAGTGTTGATCTGCAGGTGCATGGTGTTTTTAGATTATTTTAAACTCATTTTATTCTTTGAATAAAATCTGTTTGTGTGGAATGGAACTCCGTCTCAAGCTTGATTTGTAAAAATGAACTAATGTGCCTTAGTTTCAGTCGTTTTGGTTCCTGATGATCAGGTGGCATTGTTTCTAAATTGATAAGTGGCCCTGCTCGCCACATAAGGCTATAGCAGCATAACTACAGAGATAACTCTGGATAATCTATCCTATTTAGATGGAGGCATGTTGGAGGCAGGGCAAGGGAGAGCCGTCTTTACCGACTGTACACTCCACCTCCCTGTACTCCCCCGCTTGTCCAGATCCTGACTTGCACATCAGATTTTAACCGTAGGCCCTATCAAATACATCTTTTAAGCCTAGTCTTAAAAGTAGACAAGGTGTCTGTAGATGTAGACAGATCTCTTGGTGCAATATTTTTTCTTCTAAATGAACATATTAAAATTTGTTCTAAGTACAGATGATGGGGTCACAGGGGTAAAAGACAGCCCTGGCAATCCCAGGTCAGGAAGCATTCTGGATTTTTTCCTGGGTCTCATCCTGTCTTCCCAGAAAGCCTCCAGAGAGAGGAACCAATGCCTGATCAAACATCAGCAGACTTTCTACGAGGAGAAGCAGTGGCTCTGGATGGTGGAGCTCCTGGTCTTTTTTACTAAGACTAACTCTGATCACCCTATGGAAACATCTCATTTGAGTTGAATATGTTTGTGACGTCTTCAGTCATGATCCACATATCCAGATGGACTGATAAATTAACCCTCTGGAGGCAGCCGTTGCAGATTTGCAACGTTAAAACCTACCTACCTGGTTACTCCACGTACGTATTTCATGAGCATTTTCAGAAGTACCCCTGAAGGACTTAGTTGTTCGTCCTTTTATCAAAACCTATTTTGAGCCTGAGAGGGTTAAACACTTTGGATTTTGGCTCAGTTGTGTCTTTGCACACACACAGCATTACCCTCGTCACTCCTGAAGGCAAAGTCCTGATCCATCTCTCACTCCATCCTAAAACACCAAGATACTCAAATGACTACAATTGAAGCAATGACTCACTCTCCTAGCCTAGTGAACTAGACCAAATTCTTGCTTTGCAAAAAATGGTCTAGGCATGCTCCATTGGAACCTCAGCAGCTCCTACCAGGACTCTGGCTGGCCAATCACAGCTCTCTAGAGGGGTTTCAAACACATAAAGAGCTGTGATTGGTCCATAATGGTGGGCCAATCATAGTGCTCTATCTGCTTAGTGAACAAATCACAGAGCTTTATCCGCTTTGTGGGCCAATCAGGGCACTCTATGTGCCTGGTGGGTGGGATGACGCAACAGAGTGAAACAAGAGTATGTCACATTCATTGTCCAGTGGAATGCGGAGATCATTTGAAAGACAACGGTAGAACTCGCCCCACAACCGAGAGCCGTCAGTGGAGCATGGCCAGACTAAATAATACATTTATTTAGTCTGGCTTGCCAGGCTATCACTCTCCACCAGTGGAGGGAGCATTCCACCTTTTCCTGGTTGAAACCCATGAGCTGACTCTGGTCCTGTCCTATGGCACCGTCTTCACACACACATGGGCTAAAAGATCATAATCGGGTCATCAGCAAAAAACAGACTCTGCGATTCCCCAACCACCCTCGTTTCAGAATCTGTCCTGTTGGTGTTTTCACACAAAAGGGTTTAAAAAATTTGTGATGGAGGTTTTATGGGTGTCTGATCCTTCTTGGCATGCACCTACAGAATGGTGCTGGGCTGCAGGTGACGTGTCCTGCCCTAATGATGGATTCCTGTAGATTTTCATTTGACTCCTCCTGGTGTATGTGTTGTACCAGGAGTGACTCAGCAGTTCGGTGTTGGACTTTTCAGAGCTTCTGCTGGCCTCTGCTGGGAGGACAAGGAGCCACAAATGAGAGCAGGTTTTGGATTTTTGACGTCCTTCCAGTTAAAACACTAAGATTTAAATATTATCTGGAGAGAAAACAGCATTGTGCTAGTACAATGGCTACTTATAGTTAAAGTTTTTTAATTGACCTGCAAAAGCACATTCAAGAAAAATGATTATGGATTTAATATTGTTAATTAATACTATTTATTTAATGCTGGCAATAAAAATAAATATAACTCTTAATTTAACGCAGCTATTAAAGGTGATGACTTTAATAATAAGTTGAATGCAACATGCCTCTGGTTTAACCATAAAATGCATTTAAGTTTTATTCACCTTTTATTTTGCATTTTTGTTTGTTTGTTTAAGTCAAAAAGTGTGAGTTTTTTTAGGTTATTTTCTTATAAAATACCATTAATAGTCATTGGATCTAAGAAAAGTACAGAAAAACATCAATCTATGATTGATGATGGAGACATTTTAAAGTAAAAAGTTTGTTCAGATCAAACTGACGTTAAAACGTTTTAGGTTTAAATTGTTTTGGTTCTTGTCCTTTTCTTTGAAGTCTGACACCACCCGAGTCTATAATTGTGAACTGAGCTCAGAATTACGCATTTGTGCATAACATGTCCTCTCAGACAGATCCACATTTAAAATGCCTTTGCATCCTTTTTACGTGCCACGCTTCCCACACCCCGACTCCCAGGAAACAGACGCGAGGAGGTGCGCGTTGTTTGACTCGTTCCTATTGTAACCAGCGGGACTCTGAAACAAATAGGAACACCCAGGAGCAGACAGATTAATCCCGAATCAGGTAAATCTCTTGTGTATTTTAGCGTTGCGCTAAATTGGGAATAATTGTGTTATAATGGCGGAGGGAGGGGAGGGGAGATGCGTGTGCGCTTCTGCGTCCGCCGGTTCCTGCAGAGGTGGCTCATATTAGACATTTTGTGTCTGGGTGCGCATTTGTTCATGTGGGTGTCTGCAGACATGAACGACGTAACGCTGAACTTTGCGGTACCGGTCGGGGAGGATGGCTGCAGGAGGCTGGACCGGCTGGAGATGGAGTGATGCTTCCTCCTTTTATTATGAAAAGGAGCTGCTTGTCGGCCGTTCAGCTGAATGTGGTGTCCTCGGTGCGTTAATATCAGTCAGGATGTCTCCACTTCACCGTTAGCATGATGGATGCCGGTCAGAAGCCCTGCTGCTCTGACCAGGCCCAGAATAAACAGCTGACTGGGAGCTGAATGGATGGAGAACCTTGAAGAGGGACAAACCACCAAAAGGCAAACCAGGATGAAACCATTCACAGTTAGACTGATGAGAAAAAAATAAACACCTTCAAATGTATTGCTACCCGATCATTCAGCAGGAGGAGCTTTGTTGTGGTCTTAGACATCAGGCTGCAGCCCACTAAACAAAAACAACAACCCTGCTGAGAACAGGCTTCTCGTGGATTTCTTTTGTTTTGGTTCAGATATCCAAACCAGCCTGGTCCTATAATGTGAAAAGGCAATTACCTCATTTTTATTTTTGTACGATCTGTGATGAACCACATTATTTGTAAAATTGAGTTTGCTCTCTTAGCCACGCCCAGGCCTGATAAACCTGTAGGACTAAGAAATCACTTCAGTAGTATCTGACAACGGAAACTATGTCAAAAAATAATTAAAAAAAAAAAAAACACATCACATTTCTACAGAAGGTAAAGACCAAAAGAACCCAGAACAACATCTAAATACCGCAGGCCACATTAGGGTAAGGTCAGAGGTCACGATTCAACAAGAAGTGTGAGAGGGGCAAAAATATCCTTATGGGAGATTTTTAAAACCAAACCCACTTACCAAAAGGATTTAAAGGTCCATCTCAAGTTTACCAAAAATGTCTTGATCATCCCTTTGGGAACATATTTTTTTGGCTAGATGAGACAAAAGTCGAATGTTTACAAAACACGTGTGCGTGCGCGCGTGGACATTGATCACTTGCTGATCTCTACATCCTGACTGAGACAGGAAAACTCTCCATTGTGGCTGAACTGAAACAGTTCCGTAAAGAGATATAACGTTCCTCCAAAACTCCTACCACATGCTGAAATGCAGCTAAGGCTGGTGAAACCAGTGTCTTTCTAAATGAATTCAATCATCATTTGAAAGCTGTCTTTTTTTATTTACTCATCTTTGTCCGCTGATATTCAATATTCAGTTTGATTTTTCATTGGGTCAATGGTCCTAAGGCTTTTGCCAGAGGGCCACACGTTTCCCTACCATTAAAACAAAGCGCCACCGCATTTTCTACATTTTTATTTCGCAGTCAAATTACATTAGGTGCTGGCTTCTAGTGCAAAAGTTAAAAAGCTGCAACACACACCAGATTTAGTTTTGACAGCTCCAAGGTCAGCAGTTGCTTTGTGCATACGTAAAATCCAAACATGACCTGCTTCAGCTGGTCTGAGATAACGGTCACATAAACTCCCAGTAACACCAGTTACATCATATTATGCAAATACAAACATAACAAGCACACTTTGAATGAAATCACTGCTGGCCTTTAAAGCATGGAAGATAAGTGTCTAGTGCTCGTACGACAGCACACTTTGATCCATCTATAATAAGAAGACTCTTCATGGACCGAGCAAGACCAGAAGTTAGGTTAATATGGTGTGGCGGCAATCCAGAGAGAAAAGTAGTGTCTGCATCTGCAAATGGTCTCATCGTTTCCATGCAATTCACAGAGATGCCGGAAGCTTCCTGCTGCAAGTGCAGCTGCGGGTGAAAATCACACAACTTACCTGCTAGTTTTGAGTCAGTGTTTCGTTGTTGTCTGTCAAGCCTCCGAGCCCAGTGGATATTCATTATCAAAGATGGCGTGAGTCGTCTTGAAGTGCCTCCACACATTTATTCTTTAATTTGTGAATGACTCGGTAGACGGGTTTTCTCTCAGAAGTCTGTATGCGTGCTGCATCCATACCAGTCCAGTCGCCGTTACATTTTCTATTTTCGCTGTCGACCTTACGTCTCTTCTTTTGAATGCAACATGTTGTTGTAAACTGTCATAATCAATTGTAAACTCGCCATCAGCAGAGTAAACTGCAGCACTGTAAACATTTTGTAAACCACACAGTTAAGTTGCTGCTGTTATACTACCCGGCCTGCATTTGTATGCCTTGTTAGGGTTCTTCAGCCCCCCAAAGCGCTTCACAGCACAACCAGTCATTCACCCATTCACATGCTGGTGGTGATGAGTTACGATGTAGCCACAGCCGCCCTGGGGCGCACAGCCAGAGGTGAGGCCTGCCAAACACTGGCGCCACCGGTCCCTCAGACCACCACCAGCAAGGTAGATTAAGTATCTTGCTCAGACACAACAGCAGCATTCTCTGGTGGGAGCCAGGATCGAACCTGCAACCTTCCGATTACTGGACAACCCGCTCTTCCTCCTGAGCTGCAGCTGTCCCTGATAATTAACAGAAAGTGATGTAGACGAGGGGTGGGTTGTGGCCCTTGGGCTGGTCTAAAGCTTGTGCTGCAGTTGGTGATGTGAGTCAAAGTAAAGCTACGGGTCTGTGTGAGTAGGCTACCATTAGGCCTCACACTGAGACTTCCATCATGTCCAGTTTGCACAGCACAGTCCAAGAAGTGCAGTTGGTAGTTGTGCACGTCCTCCTATAGGTCAACTTTATGCACAGCGTTGACATGGCTTGTGAAATCCAAAGAATCAGGCATTTAGTAGAAGACATGTAGGCATTTAGTTAGCCTGCTTTCATAGAGGTAATACCTGTAAAGCAACCGTGATACCGCTGCAGCCCAGGATACTCCCGTTTAACAGTGCCTGCAGTCTGATCTTGAACTGACCTTATTGGGGAGATTAATCTTTACGGAGCCACTGATGCCATTTTATTTCTCCAAGATTATCACACGATGCACGGAGTGTCCTTCTGCCTTTAAGTGTTGGCTTTTACCAGACAGATGCAGACTGGTGGCTGTAATAACTCTTCAGGGTCTCCAGGCACAGACGGTCCTGAGTTTAGGAGACCTTTTCTCCTGGTGACTGTGGTTTTTCAGACTTAGTTATGTTCATTCTAAAGACTTCAACCTTTCCAGCTTCAGTCGGTCAGCCAATGGGTGCTTTTGTATCTTCTCTGTGAACCACACAAGCTTGATCTGCAGGGTTACTAAAATGTGGTGTCTCCATGGAAACAGAGGATGTCAGATGATGATGACAAAGTCATGATAATATTTAAGATGCTGTGCATTCATCTTCAAAATTGAGTTCACGGCACAAGATTAGGAACCCATTAGAAAATGCATCTAATCTAATGTCTTTGTGGTTTTAATAACTCTAAATCACCTTATGCTATAAAAAGGAGATTCACATCAGTTAGGTTTCCAACACTGATAGTATTACAGCATATTTTAGATGACAGGAAGAGGGTAATGGCATATTCGTAGAAAGGGATGGAGATGATATGTAAGAAACTGATCTAAAGTTTCTATAGATTCATCTTTAAGATTTACTACACTGATGGTAATATGGAGACGTTCTGGAAGTAATTATCTAAAAATAACCAGTGCTGACGACAAAATGCAGCAACTCTACAGTGAGGGTATTTTTAATGAAAAAAGGAAAAACCTATATAGCATTTTTTTCCAGAGTTCCTCAAAAAACCTTCAGGGACCTGTGTAGGGCTCAGAAATCCCACTGAGGGACCAAATGGCCCAGATTAGTCTATTTTACATGATTTATCTTAGCAGGTGGAAGGAGTCCATAGAATAGCTCGTAAAACCTTGAAGTGCCCTCACATTTATTAACACAAAAGAACATTTTCACCAGTCCACACCCTGCAGGATTAAGTACCATACGGAACTGTATGATCTAGAACATTATCACAGAACCATGGTGATCAAAGACTTGTATTTCAGATAATTATTATTATTATAACAATGAGCCTTTATAGAGGATGAAGACCACTTAAAAATCTAGAAAAAACAGGCCCCCATTGAATAAAACTTTGGAAGAACTGAGGGGTGGTAGAGTTCTGTTGAAGAATGAAAAAAAAAGACCTAAACTGTGAATTTACTCAGCGGAAATACAGAATAAATAATAAAAGTCAATGGCACTAAACCCATAAAACTAACTGGCATTCTGCTGTGACGTCTTTGTCACAGCAGAATGCCAGTTAGTTTTATGGCACTACCCTAATCCTAACCCAACCCTGAACCAATCAAATCCTTTCTGATAAAGGTTTACGTGAGGAAGGGGTCTGGAGCAGAGACCCAGTATACGTTTTACATTTTTACACGTTCATTGCGCTATAAGCCTGCAACATGTTGTGTGCCAGTTTCAACATGTGACACAGACATGCAGGATGGATCACTGGATGTTCAAAAAAGTCCTCAACGGTCATGCAGACCGCTCTTGTGCCACGTGCATGTAATTCTGCCAGAACACAGACAACCAGGACCTTCCGTGTGTCTGGTGACAGAAGCTTTGACATGTAGCGGGCGACTGGAGATTCCAACGACACTGAAATCCAAACTAAATTAAAATAAGCACCCCCGTAGCTGCATCAGTCTCATCCATGTCATCCCCATATCCAGACATTTTTCTGGGTATAGGGATTGCACTGGACATGTCTTTGGTGATGATGGCATCCAACACGAGGGCCACAGAGTCATAATTAGCAGGGTCTTCTTCCCGTCTTTTCTGCAACATGTCCAGCACCATTAGGTTGAGCCCATGCTTGGCGTCCAAAGACTCCATCCACCTTTCCACAAACAAAATAAATAGCTTTTTAAGTGTTGTAACACTTAGATCTCTATTTTGGGCACTTCTTCTTTTTCTCTGAGAATGTTTTTGTTTTAAAGACTTTTAAAATTAGTGACGATGGCACCAAGAAACTCAAAACCTGTACATCAGTTCCCTGTTTTTTGTACAGCAAAGTATGTAGAGCTGAAATATTTTAGGTTTTTTAACCACCATGTTAAAAAGTGGAATAAAAAACATGTACCACACCTTTGCAATGTCTGTGGATACGTCAGGGGAAGAAGTTCTTGGACCATGGATGTTTAGTGTGAGGGCAAACCTTCTCTGGTCCTCCTTGTTTTCACAGCTCTGCTTTGAAGAGAGGTCCATCGGAGCATCTGAAATTCAATTAACAAATACTAAATTAGTAAGTTCCCTTGAAATGAGACCTTTATAATGTCTGACAGAGAGTATAAACATTTGATGAAATTCAAAGTTGTGTTATCAATTCATTTGACCTGAGTGGACGTCCAGTCCTTCCTTCAACTCGTTTATGAGGATCTTGTCCTTCAGAATCTCCAGTAGCCCCTTTATTATATTTTTTGTCCTCCGTTCTCGAGCCTTTGAGTTCAGGTTCTCCCGCTCTAGACTCTCTACTCTGGCCAAAGCCTGACTGAGTCTGGCTTTTAGGTGAGTGGGAGAACTGGACAATGCATAGGAGTGGTCCTAATAGGATGAAGGATGAAAATATTTTCAGTGATGTTTATATCACGCCACAATGCAATGTCACTGCAAGCACTGTGAGTGTGAGAAAGAGAAGGCGTGTGTGTGTGTGTGTGTGTGTGTGTGTGTGTGTGTGTGTGTGTGTGTGTCTATAACTGGTATGTCTGGAAAGAGTTGGAAAAAGAGATATTTTAACCTAACCAGAGTGATGCTCACAGCTGAAAGGAACATAATAAATACAAAAACTCACAGCACTGGGTTGAGGTTTACTTAAAGGGACATGCTGACAAATATCCACTGGTGGGTTCTCTTCAGCTTTGCTGGAAGTTGTTGCCATCCTTTTTGCGACAAGCTAAAATATAAGAAACACATACTTGAAAATAACACAAAAATGTCCTCGTATCCCACAGTGTAGTGTAATACACAACATACCAGCCTGACCAGACCCTGTGCACGAGAAAAGGCTAACTTCCTGTTTTGAGACCGGATGTAGAGTTGTTCATTTCTGCTAACTTTTTAGTGCTTTTGTTTTGCTGAATTACTACTGTTGTCAAAAACAAAAACGGAATGATCGCGTATTTCACGCATGATGCGGCTCGCGGATGTTACGCGCTTCACAACTTGCAGCGTTTATGGTTAATGTGGCTCGTCTCTGCGGTGAGCCAATATTCTCCCAAACTTTAATCAATCAATCAATCAATCAATCAAAGCTTTATTTATAAAGCGCCTTCCGCAACCCTGTCAGGAAGCCCGAAGCGCTGAACATGGTACAGTTGTAAGTAATTATACTGAATAAATCAACAATAAAAGAAATTCAAATTACAAAATACAAATTACAAAATACAAAATGGAATTTACAAGATAGATGAAACATTCCGGTAAAATACAAATGTGTGAAACACAATTGGATTGAGTGGATGGATTGAGTGTACCAATGAAAACTGTGGAATGGATTCAACATAGTAGAGGGCCATAATCAAACATGTTCTGGAAACGCCAAGCGGAGGAGGTGTGTTTTTAGGTGATTCTTAAAGAGTGGCAGAGAAGGGGACAGCCTAACTGAGGGTGGCAACTGGTTCCAGAGTAACGGTGCTAGGACTGAGAAAGCCCGGTCCCCACGGGTACGACACCTAGACCGAGGGACAGCGAGCAGGCCTTGGTCAGAGGAGCGCAGAGCGCGTGATGGGGAATGTCTGTTCAGGAGTGTGGCCAGATAGGGGGGAGCACCACCCTGGAAGAAATGATAAACAAAGACGAGTATTTTGAATTGTGAGCAATAGGAAATCGGAAGCCAGTGCAGGGAGGCCAGAACTGGACTGATGTGGTCCCATCACATCAGTCCAGTCTAGGGGGCAGCATGGAGCTCTACAGCATGCATCCAACACTACACCATAGTAGAAGTAAAAATTGCTGTTGTTTACAACATGGCATTCCAGCATTTTTTAACAGCGTCCTCATCTTTTCCGACAGTGCAAGCTATTTCTCTCCAAGAATTATTAACATGTTGATCACGGTGATCTCTGAGAGCTGAATCATACAAATGTCTGTATTTACGAACCTCTGCCATACTAGTTCTTACCAGTCCGCCATGTTTTTCCGTGTCCGACCGTCCGCGTGGTTAGAAAATTTCCTAGGTGTGCGATGCGGAAAGTTTGGGCCGTGCGGAGGCGCGGTGGAGGGGCGTGGTTGTTAAAATGACACAATTTTGCCGCGCGGAGCCGTGCAAACCTCGCGGATGTGTCAAGCATATGGTGTAGTGTTGGATGCATGCCATAAAGCTACAAAGAGCAGAAGGTAGGAACACTCATCACTGCTGCGTCCCGCTGTGTACTGCTGGGGGGAGATTTAACAAAACCATTAAGGTTGGTTTATGCGCGGCAAAATTGCGTCATTTTAACAACCACGCCCCTCCACCGCGCCTCCGCACGGCCCAAAATTTCCGCACTGCGCACCTAGGAAATTTTCTAACCCCCGGACGGTTGGACGCGGAAAAACATGGCGAACCGGCAAGAACTAGTATGGCAGAGGTTTGTAAATACAGACATTTGTATGATTCAGCTCTCAGAGATCACCGTGATCAACATGTTGTTAATAATTCTTGGAGAGAAATAGCTCACACTGTCGGAAAAGACGAGGACGCTGTTAAAAAATGCTGAAATGCCATGTTGTAAACAGTAATTTTTACTTCTACTATGGTGTAGTGTTGGGTGCATGCCGTAGAGCTCCATGCTGCCCCGTTCAGTTTTGGAGAATATTGGCTCACCGCAGAGACAAGCCGCACGAACCATAAACGCTGCGAGTTGTGAAGCGCGTTTCATCCGCGAGCCGCTTCACCAAGCGGAAAGTGAATGCGTCAAGCATAAACCAAGCTTTAGTTTTCACTCCTTTCCAAAGGATCCTGAGTTGCGGGCACAATGGCTGATAAAAATCAGACGGGACCGCTTCAGTTACGGCCAGCTCTAGAGTGTGTAGTCGGCATTTTGAGACTGGCGAGATCTTCTTGTCTTCCTTTGGAAAGCGATGTCTTCAGCCAAAAGTTGTTCCGTCGTTATTCCACTGGAATGACTACACGAATAAGTCAGAGGGACCCAGAGTTTGGGAACGCCGCCCTCGGCCTGTTGACACCGTGGCTATGGCAACCGAGGACGACAACACAGAGGATGGAAACACCAATATCCCTATCGCGGGTTATGCTGAGTCTGATCCAGCCTCCATCCCCATGACTAAAGATCATGATTATGCAGCAAGCTCTTGGATTGTCGTAGATCGCATTAAATATGAATCTATGTCAAGGGAGATTGAGGAGCTCAGGCAGCAGCTTGAGTCATAACACCTCACTCAGGGGTTTGGACTGCAGCGATTTGCCACATCACCCGATGACATTTGGTACTATACAAGGCAAGTAATCCTGAAGTTTTTAAGTTACCCTATATATTTATACCATTGTAGATCTATCGATCTGTCTATCCATCTATCTATCCATCTATATATATATATATATATTAAAATAATTTCATGATGGCACCCCTTTGTTTCCATTTAAGTTTGATCTGAAAATTAGCAATCACTCCAGAAAAATAACATTTACATCCACAACAGATTTCCATCATATGAGCATCTGATGGCCTTTTGGAACCTAATTGAAGAGGCAACAAGCAGAATGGTGAGGGTCACCAGCAGTCAGAAGAGCCTTTCTACCAGCACATCCACCGAGAGCCCTATGAACAGACCAACTGTAAGTTCAACAAAATTACAACCTGGTTGTTCTGTGTTGATTACATATTTTTGTTGCTGACTGGACCGTTTTTTTCTCTCTCTTCCAGAAATTGTTGCCAATTGATGAGCTGTTTCTGTTCCTCAATTATCTGGCAACCGGCTGTACACAAAGGGAACTTTGTCACAAGTTTAACATCCACAGAGCTACAGAGAGTAGAATACTTGTGTCACGGTCCAACTTTTTGTACACCTTGCTTGGATCTGTCTCCATCTGGATGGCACCTGACAGAGTGAGAGCAAACTGCCCCACAGATTTCAGTGGCCCTTACAAAAATACTCAGGTCATTCTTGACTGTACTGAAATGAGGTGCCAAACACCCTCCTCCCTTCTGCTCCAGAGCGAGGTGTTTTCAGCTTTCAAGTCACACTGTACCTTCAAAGCGTTCATTGGCATGTCCCCCCATGGAGCACTCACATTTGTGTCAGCACTTTTTGAAGGCTCCATAAGTGACAAGGACATTTTCCGTCACTCCGGCATCTCCTCCCTCCTAACGGACGATGGATGTAATGGTGGACAAAGGGTTTCTGATCGATGAGCTAGTGCCCGGGAAAGTCCATCGCCCAACCTTTTTGGCCAAGTAAGCCCAAATGTCAGAGGTGGATGTGCTTAGAACCCAGTCCATTGCACGTCTGAGGGTCCATGTGGAGAGGCTCATCAGGAGGGTTAAAGAAAACAAACTTTTCGACACAGTCATCCTCTTTCCATTTCCGGAAATATTAACCAAATTTTTACTGTAGCATTTCTCCTCACAAACTACCAATACGGACCCCTGGTCAAAAAATGGGTGTTTGAGTAAAAGCTTGAAATTGGTATTGTCTGTGTAGTAGTATGTGGGAGAAGTAGCCAGGATTTGGAAAAATAATCTGCAGTTCTTTTTGTTACTGAATACAAAATTCTTACCTTTAATAGTGAAATGGAGATGAAAGTGTTACTACTAAGTTTGAGTAACTGTTTTATGGTTTTGTAATATGTATTTTAAATTCATGTAAATAGTTATTCCCCAACAGTAGAAGTAGCTGATTTTGTTTTTAAGTAAAATTGAAAACACACCCCCTTCCATGGTTAAATAAAGTTCAGTGATAGATGTTTTATTGTTTACTTTGCAAATAAAACCGCCTTCCTTTAACAGAACCGCCATTTGCTCTGTTTTGTGTGCTTCTTATTGACTGCAATAGATTTAAAGAAGATAAATACTATTTTCCTGGAATTCAAAAATAAAAACACAAATTTCAAATGATCAACTATATTTTAACATACTTTGAAATTTATAACAGTAAACATATGAACATTTATTTAATGGTTTAAACACAAAGTCTGCAGATATTAATACATAAAAAATTGAACAACATGGAAAATAATACAAATGCCTTTTCAGACCATGTGTGTTGATGACATTTAAGTCAGGAATAACAAGCTAACCATTTATGACAGTGCAAGGAATTTGTCCATGAACACATGAAAATAGAACATGTCTATCTTACACTTCATTGTCTCCATCACACCCTCATCCCTCTGTATTCTTTGGATGAACACATCTTCTTGAGCAGAGACCACAAAATCACACCAACTCATCCCTGTAGTTAGCAGCTGGCCCTGAACTTGCCAATAATAGGCATGTGATGGTTTGAGCTGCAATGTCCCACTGATGACCTTGAGGTAAGGTGCGTCTACATCATTTTTAATGTTTGGACATTTTATTTCTAATAGGCCAAATTGAGGATGCCCTAATGGGTCAAAAATGATACCATCTGGTGATGCACCAATCCATGGTGCATCCGGGTGCACCACAAATCCACATTTGTAGTGGTTCACGTGTTTTATCTGGCAGTAATCCCAGATAGCATCTGCCTCTAACTCTAAGCCTGTCTTCATAGTGCCTGTCTGGCAAGTACCATTCAAGATGCGTTCAGCCAGCAGCTCTTCGGAGAGCTCACCCACATGACAGATCTCTCTAAATCGAGATGCAGTCACTTGTGGTCTACGTACATTGTGCCAATCAGCACGCACACACTGCTCTCGCGTAGCACATTCTATGCTCCGGGACATTTCGAGGGTCACCTCAAGACTTTTCATGTGCAGCTGTTGCTTCCTGGAACAGACAAACATGCATTCTGATGGTTTCAGTCTGTAGTCTTGCAGAGGCAATGGTGGAGGAGGTGGAGCATTATGGAGGGCCTTCACTTTCTCTTTGGGTGGTTGTTTATAAGAAAGTGGACTTCCTTGTTGCACCTTGCCGAGCAGTGAGTCCACCAGTGGGATATCTTTGCCTATTCCCATGCTGCAGATCATAGGCCGGTCAGTGTCGGAGAATGGTTGGTAGACTTCAGAAACCCGCAGAACCGATAGGTCAGGAAGGTCCCTGTGAAGGCCTTTGTACAGTTTGCTCCTGAATGTTAAGAACACACATACAGAAACATTGTAATCAATACATAATGTGGACATGCATGCTATGCAGACGACACCCAGGTCAATCTGTCATTTCCACCGGACAACCACACTGTCTCTGCACGAATATAAAACTGTCTCTCCGACATATCAAAATGGATGAAATCCCACCATCTCCAACTCAACCTCTCTAAAACTGAACCACTTGTCATCCCAGCAAAGCCATCCATACTGCACAATATCTCAATCCAAAATGACTTCCTATCTCTGGCTCCTTCAAAGGCAGTTCGAAATCTGGGTGTTGTGATTGATGAACACCTGAGCTTTAAAGATCATGTTGCCTCTGTTGCTCGTTCATGCCGCTTTGCGCTGTATAACATACGAAAGATCAGACCATACCTAACACAACATGCCACCCAGCTCCTGGTGCAATCTACTGTCATCTCCCACCTCAATTACTGCAATGCCCTTCTAACTGGTCTTCCAGCCTGTACTGTGAGACCTCTTCAAATGGTCCAGAACTAGGGATGGGTACCGAATTCGGTACTTTTTAAGGTACCGACCGAATTCCCCACTTATAAACAAAAACTAAAATCTGTAAAGCCAGCCATCAGGACAGTGAGGAAATGGACAAATGAAGCAAAAGAGGAGTTTGATTGTACAGACTGGAGAGTATTTGCAAATGCCACCGGCGATCTGAACGAGCTAACGGACACTGTGACATCCTACATCACCTTCTGTGAGGAAGTGTGTGTGCCAACAAAGACTTTTCGCACCTTTAATAACAACAAGCCATGGTTTACAGCAACTCTGAGCCAGTTGAGACGGGCAAAGGAGCAGGCTTATAGGGCAGGAGACAGGCCTCTGTACAAATCACTCAGGAACACGTTGAACAAGGAGATCAGAGCTGCTAAAATTAAGTATGCAGCAAAGCTGAAAAACCAGTTTACAGCCAACAACCCCACATTATTGTGGAGAAACATTCAGCAAATTACCAACTACAGGAGACCATCCTCCATTTCTGATGCTAATCATGGTCTTGCTGAGGAGCTAAATGGCTTTTACTGCCGCTTTGAGGAAAGGAATGTCACACCCCTCCTCCACTCCAGCATAGCTGCAGCCGCCACCCCTCACCTGGACACTCTTACTCATCTTTCCTCTAAATCACAAGCTGCGTTCCTTGTGAAGGAAGAGGATGTCTGCAACATCTTTAGGAGACAGAAATTACGGAAGGCACCAGGCCCAGATGGAGTAACTCCTTCCTGCCTCAGGACCTGTGCTGTCCAACTAGCACCTGTCTTCACAACGATATTCAACAGAGCGCTGGAGCTGTGTGAGGTTCCATCATGCTTCAAAAGCTCAACTATCATCCCAGTACCGAAGAAATCCTCCCCTACCGAATTGAATGACTACAGACCCGTGGCTTTGACATCAGTAGTCATGAAGTCCTTTGAGCGCTTGGTGCTGTCCCATCTTAAAAGCACCACAGGCCACCAGCTGGATCCCCTGCAGTTTGCATATAGGGCAAACAGGTCAGTGGATGATGCAATTAACATGGGGCTGCACTTCATCCTGGAACATCTTGATCAACCAAGGACCTACGCAAGGATATTGTTTGTGGATTTTAGCTCTGCTTTTAACACCGTTATACCAGAAATCCTCACCTCAAAGCTTTCTCAGCTCACTGTTTCCCCTGCTATGTGTCAGTGGATTTCCAGCTTCCTAACAAATAGGAGCCAGCATGTGCGGCTGAACAATGTTACGTCTGGCACAAGGCTGATCAGCACCGGTACACCACAGGGGTGCGTCCTTTCTCCACTGCTCTTTTCTTTGTACACCAATGACTGCACCTCTAATGACTCGGCTGTAAAAATCCTGAAATTTGCAGATGACACCATTGTCATTGGGCTCATCCAGGATGGTGATGAGTCTGCTTATCAGCGAGAAGTTGAGATGCTGGTGGTCTGGTGTAGTCAGCACAATCTTGAGCTTAACACCCTTAAGACTGTGGAGATGGTCGTGGATTTTAGGAAGCTTCCCACAGTGCTGCCCCCCCTCACAATATCCAACAGCCCAGTGTCAATGGTGGACTCATTCAAGTTCTTGGGAACTATCATTTCCAGGGATCTGAAGTGGGAAACAAACATCAACTCCATCCTCAAAAAGACTCAGCAGAGGATGTATTTCTTACGGCAACTAAGGAAGTATGGCCTACCACAAGAGCTGCTGATCATCTTCTATACTGCTGCAGTCGAATCCATACTTTGCTCATCCATCACTGTCTATTTGGGTCAGCCACAAAAATGGACAAATGCAGACTACAGCGTATTATTAAAACAGCAGGAAAAATCATTGGTGCCCAACTGCCCTCTGTCCAGGAACTGTACATCAGCAGGACCAGGAAAAAGGCAGTGAATATTGTCCAAGATGCCACACATCCTGCATCTACTCTCTTCCATCTCCTCCCATCTGGCAGACGCTATAGATCACTGTACACAAAAACTACCAGACACAAGAACAGTTTCTTTCCTTCAGCCATTTCTCTCCTGAATCTGTAGATTCTTTTACCATCCTTTTACTATAGTTTTTAATACTAATTCAGTATGCTTATGGATGTGTGTGTGTGTGTGTGTGTGTGTGTGCGTGCGTGTGTGGGTATGTATATATGTATATAGGTGTGTGTGTAAATGAACATGTGTGTGGGTATACATGTTCTTATGTGTTTTTAGGTATTTTTATTCTCATTTATTGTGGTTGTTGTATGTTTTAGAGAGCGAACATCTACCGAAGACAAATTCTTTGTAAATGTAATTTTACTTGGCCAATAAATCTGAAATCTGATAGTACCGACCGAGCACCGATTCACGTCATTTCAAACGGTGCCTCGTTTCGGTACCCGTCCTTCATAACGAGAACTTGCCAAGACCGCTGCGCATGTGCAAGAGCGTTATGTCATCGGTCCCTGCGAGCCAGTTGTAAACAGAGCAGCATGGTAGAAAGAATGCACGCTAAAGCTTGGGTCCACTTCACTAAATGTGATGGGTAACTAGGTGATGATGAAACCAGCGACAACGATCTAAGTGAGACATCCTCATCTTAATCTGCTCCGGTAGGTGAATAAAATGTTTAAGATAACGTTAGCTTGATATGTTAGCGAACGCACCATTAGCGGAACGGAAGCTTTCTCCTCGGAACTCCGAATTTCCGACTAGAAGAACATGAACGAGCTCTAAAGTTTGGCTTCACTTTACTAAATGCTACGGGTGATTGGGTGAAGATGAAACCAGCGACAACGATCTAACTCCCAAATTCCACTACCTCCGCTCCGCTCCGGTCCGCCCCCGCTCGCTTCCGAACTCAATTTTTACTGGTACCCGCTCTACAACGGCTCCGCTCCGGTGCGGAGACCTGAGGTGGGCAAACAAGCATGCGCGGGATTTTCGAGATCTTGCGATACAGTCCGAGCAATAAACGCGGAAGTTAGATCCAAACACCCGTTGTGTGGGAGAAGCATCGAAATGAGCTGTTTAATCTGCCCATCATTTGTGTTGAGAGATCAGCAGTGTTTGGATCAACAAAGTGTGACTGCTTTGATAGTGGAAACTGTATTTATGGCTTACTTTTGTGCATTTAAACTTCAGCCGCCACTGATAGTTGTTAAAAGTTGTTAAACCTGTGCATATGAAACAAAAAACGCCTTTTGTTTATCGATTTATTGTGAAAAACGGAAGTTGTGCTTGCTCCTTTTCCTGTTGGGCGGTTGTGATTTCCTGTCCATTTACTGCGGAGTTGCTCCGGCGTCCGGCAAAAATAGGATTGATTCTATTTTTGCCGGATGCCGGAACAGAGGGCGGCGCACTGCGCCGCACTGCAGGAGTATGGCCGCAGTAGTGGAAGTGCTCTGATTGACTACAACGGGACCGATTTTGCTCCGGCGTTCGTGGCGGAGGTAGTGGAATTTGAGGGTAAGTGTGAGGCATCATCGTTTTAATCTGCTCCAGCAGATAAATAAACTGTTTAAGATGAAAAAAGATGGTAAAAGGAATGAAGATACACAGTAAATTTAGTTCACAGTAAAGATGTTTGCTTCAGTTTAATTATCAACTTATAAAACTACAAGGACGATGTTAAAATACAAACAGTTGTATGTTATTTATCGTGATATTTATCAAATATTGTTATATATTGAGAAAAATATATATTTAATTATAAAAGACAATTAAATAATAAACACTCAAAAGTATCGAAAATTGGTACCGTTAAGTACCGGTATCGATTCCTAGGTACCGGGAATTAGTACCGAATCGATTCAAATGTCAAAGGTACCCATCCCTATCCAGAACGCAGCGGCGCGTCTGGTCTTCAATCAGCCAAAAAGAGCACACGTCACCCCTCTGTTCATTGAGCTCCACTGGCTACCGCTAGCAGCACGCATCAAATTCAAATTGCTAACACTAGCATACAAAGTCCGAGATGGTACGGCTCCCATCTACCTGAATCCTCTTGCAAAGGCAAGTTAGAAGGGCAATGCAGTCTCGGCCCGGCCACTACGGTCATCACAGGATCGTCGGCTAGCAGTGCCTACACCACGCTCAGGACAATCCAGACTTTTCTCATGCATCGTTCCACAAATGTGGAATGACCTTCCAAGCACTACCAGAACAGGGGCTTCCTTTTCAATTTTCAAGAAACTCCTGAAGACCCTGCTCTTCAGAGAGCATCTTCTAAACAAGCACCTTGCCTGCACCCGTCCCCCCTCTCTACTGTCCACCCCTTGTTCCCTCCTCTCCATGACTGATGTCAATGTTGTTGTTGTTATTGTTAGCCTCTAGGGCAGGGGTGTCAAACTCATTTTAGCTCAGGGGCTACATTGAGGGAAATCTAGTCCCAAGTGGGCCAGACCGGTAAATTAAAAACAACTTCAGATTGTTTTCTTTGTTTTAATACAATCAATATAAAACAAGGCTGGAGCCTGAGGACAGTGTATCCAAAATAGTACAAGTACAACACCTGATGTGTACTTGAAAATTTAAAAAAAATAAAAATAAATCAATAAATAAAAAAACATTCCTTAGTGATTCAAAGAGCTTACAGATCACATGGCTAGATCAGTTTCATGCAGCACTTAAAGTATATTTGACCCATTTTACTTTACATCTTTTAGCTTTCATCAGCACATCAATATCCTGAGTGGCGGCCAACTTCAGGATGTGATTCAAGTTCTTGTGTGAGCCTTGAACGCAGCTTTGTTTTATTTATACTCATTACAGAGGAAACTTGCTCACAAAGATAAGTTTATTTTCACTCTACATTGTAAAGTATGAAAATGAAGTTTACACAACCATCTTGCGGGCCAGACATAACTCGTTTGCGGGCCGGACCCGGCCCGCGGGCCGTATGTTTGACACCCCTGCTCTAGGGCAATATGCCGATTATCACTTGTAAGTCGCTTTGGACAAAAGCGTCTGCTAAATACATAAACATAAATGTTGAAACCGATCATTTTTATTACTTGGTAGGCCCGATAACTCACTATTTTACCACTGATGGCGTGTTTGAATCTGAAGCTCCTGTGCATGTCTCAAAAAACCTCTCACGGCATGCTAGTGTGCCGCGGCACAGTGGTTGAAAAACACTGTTCTAGAGCCCTGTGTTAGAAAGCCCCCCATTCTGTATTAAATATTATTGCCCTATAAAATGCTGTGATATTATCTGAAACCCCATCAGCCAGTACTTACCGCACTCCCTCTGTGGTCTTTCTTGTTTTGGGTTTGGCTGAGAGGACAACCATCTTCTCCACAGGGCCTGGCTTTATCCCCTATTAAAATATGGTCAAAATAAATACAATATATAAAGTTACATAAAAAATACTGTGATGATTGGACTCACCATAACTCTTGGCTTATGCCACTGTTGTTCACCTTCAGTGCAGCTTAACACTGGGGGAACAACTTGGACGTTCAACTGCGAATAGTGTGCAGATTGAGGAAGAGCAACACAGTGGTTGCATAAAGCTTCTCCAGCCTTACACGTGCAGGTGAAGTCCAGCAGTTGCACAGGCTGTGAATCTTTCAGTACCACCTACAAAGTACAACATTTCAATGTATTTAATATAAATACTGAATATCCCTAGAAATATAATCAATTTTTAAAGATAGCATGTTTGTCAAATGCACTGATTTCTGAGCACGTCCCTGATATGACAGCCTGACATGATCCTAGCAACATCCTATAAGTTGCATCCACCCTATTACATTATACACACTGAACACAACAATTTCACAATGCCTCTATTTAAGATCATACGCTGAGTTTGTGAGCTTTCTCTGTCTTCTTCATGGACCTGAAGCATTCTGCCCTGACCACCACCTCTCCAGTGCCCTGATCGTTGTCAGACGCTGCAGAAAAACAACAATTTTAGTAAAGTTAGTAACAGAATAACGTTAGTTGTTAAGTTATAGGTGCAGGAACTGTAATACAAAGATAATATATACAGACACTTGAAGCAGATTTTCTCATGAAAAAATAAATCAAATTATTAATTTTTACGTTTGAAAAGTGATCCATTTGTTGTTTACATCACTCAACACACACGCAAAATGCATTACAAAATGAGAAGACACGTCGTCTACATTTAGGAGCACATCCCTGTATAGTGACAGTTATTATGCCTTAAACAGGCATTCAAACTACGGGGGAACGTTAGTCAATAGCCCGATGTTCCCCTGTTACACTCACATGAGCTAACCCTAACCAAACACCCACACAACATATCAACAACCCGTGAAAAAATCGCCAAAAGATATAAAAATGACTGTTTCGGTGTTAAGGGTCTCTATATAATTATGAAGGATATGTTGTTGTGACTTACCTTCGAAACTATACAAATACTGGGAGATGTAAAATTTGAATCCTCTCTCTCGCGCGCGGGGGAAAAAGATCAAAAATTCGATGAACATCATCTAACGATATATTCGGCAAATGCCCGAGACATCTTGAGAAGTTTAAATCGACGCTTAATTCAGCCATTTGGCTGACTTCTGATGGAAAACCCGACCGTAAATCCTAGCGTAAACTTGCAGCGGCTCGCAACGTCAGTGAAACGCTCTAGTTTTCCCCCCCGGAAGTAGCATATGCTAAGACGCACGGAGTCTATTCCTAAACGTGCAGAAAGAACCGATGGTTACATTTTACTTTACATACAAGAAGCGTAGACCTCTGTTAGCATGTAGAATAAAAATGCACATACCCTTCGTTTAGATGGGAAGTTGAAGCGAGATGGGATCACACCATCTCTTAGCCTCACAGTCTGACCCGTTCGGTCGAAGTCCTCTGGCTCGAAGTGATCACTACAGATCTTGGAAAACTCGGTGGCAACAAAATCCTTCCTTCTTAAAGCAACTTCCCATTCCCTCTTTGATTCTGTGTCCCTGGGAAACCTTGAAAATATGAAGGGAAAAAATAAAACAACACAGCAAGAGATGAGAGTAGCAGTGCATGCCGTTAGCATTTTGTTGATAGCCACATTACGTTAGTTGCGACTATATTATCAGTGGTCAAATAACCAATATTGTTTAATCTTACTTGTGAAAGGTAATCCCACGCGATCTAGTCTCGGCTGTACGCCGGTTGTTGCAACCGTAGGCTGCGCAAAAGACTGGCATAGTTGCTCACTTCTCGTCGAGTACGGTTGGGTTTGGAGCTAGATGATGAAACCCACCCAATATGGCGGCGACGATGCTGGTCTCCAGCGCGGGAGGCGTCTACGTATGTCTGGAGAGGGTGTGTTTGTGTTTAAGTAACATTCCTGTGAATTTATAAAAGAAATACGCGAATTGTCAACAGAGAAAAGTGTAGTTCCTCAGGAATATGATTTTGCTTCACAGTGGACTAGCTCTTAAGTGGAAAAGGGCAACACGTTCTTTGTTGTTGGGCGGAGCTTTAGCCGTTAGCGTGTAGCTAAAGCTAATGTGCTACACCGGCTTGAGTCAGGTAATATCCTGTCGTAGGCTCACATGTCCCTCTTCGATGTCTCCGTGCTGCTCGGTTAGCTAACAGCAGCAGCACGCCTCCTGTCCCCGGACTGCCCTCATGGATCCCGGAGGAAGTGAGCTGGACTCGAGCCTGCCTCAGCCCGAGAACCCGTGCCTGATTGTGGAGGACTCTCAGCCGGACAGCGTTGCTCTGGAGGACGACCCAGAGACCAGCTACCGAGCGCTGCTGGCCCGCCGCTTGTCCAGCCTGCAGCCCACCGCCCGCAGCCCGGTCCTGGTAAGGATTAACGTACACATCCAGGAACTGTAATAATTCGCTTTTAACTTAACAAAGAGAGATATTCTTAAGGTTTTCTGGTGAATTTCTGCTTGTTATTGAACCCAATCGAAGGAGCGAGGCGCTAAACGCTGGCTGCTTTTTCTGAAGGATCTGGATCCAGATAACGAAAAAAAAATGAACGTGATGCAACTGTTTAAACCTCGCGTGCTCAATAGAATTTGAAATTACCCCCCAAACATGTTTAACTTTTGCTGAAATCTAGAAGACCTGTTTTGGAGCTGCTCTCCATTCAGTGATTTATGGTGAAAAAATGGTGCAATTCTGGATGGAAGAAATAGTAACTGCATAAGTTTACTGTGGTCAAATGGCAGCAAATGCACGCAGTAACAACAGAATTGTAACATCCTTTGCTTCATCAATTTCCCTCTGGGATTAATAAAGTATTTTTGAATTGAATTGATTTTTGCTAAATGTACCTGTACTAAGTACAATTATTCCACAAGCAGTGGGATGGCAGAGTCATTGGGGTTTCTAGGTGTCTGTTTTTTATCAGTAGCATTCATGATTTTACTCAGTCACATATTTAACTGTCCTCTCTCTATGTTCAGCATCACACAGGCTGCAGGATGTAAACATGACACACCCAACATTAGTTCTGGTGTGTTTGTGAGCAAAAAGGAGGCTGACATTTTCTGCTGTGCAAAGGCCGGCCGATGTGGATTTTTTAAAGGCCGATACCGATTTTTAAAGAATTTCATGGCCGATATCTAAAACCGATTATTACGGCCAATTTATATACGTTTTAGCAGCACACTGATTGTGAAAGACAACTGAACTCTCACTGTGTGCAATATAAATTAAACAAGTCAATAAATCTCCATTGAATTTCAAATATAAAACAAACTCAAAACATTAAAAAACTGTGTTGGTGTCCTTTGGGTCCTTTCTTCAGTCTAGTAGTGGCAGAAGTTGGCCACACAGGTGAGTGATTTAAAAAAAATATCAGCTTACATTGATCTTAAAGAAAGGGTAATAGAGACTACATCTCCTCAGATTTTAGCAGTTCTGTTAAGTAAATGTGTACTAATCACCTCCAGGTGTGCATTTCAGGCATTTTATTCTTGTTTTTGATATCTTCTTTTATGTGTGCATAATTATAATTTATTTCTTTGTAACTCTCCAGGAGCTGATCTCGTCACCACTAGGAAGCAGATTCTCCCAGAGTGACAGCCAATCAGAGAACAACAGCCAGGCTGAACCAGGTCGCTGATTTTCTAATGAAATTCATTTCCGTACCAGATCCTGTCCCAGGGTTCCTCCTGGCTACGTCTTAAACATCGTGGTTGTTGTTTATGTACAGACACTGTAGCAGTGGCTGACCCGCAGCCAGAGGAGAGTCAAGTTCTGAACATCTTCCCTCCAACACACAAGAAAACGTACGGTGAAAACCAGACACCAACTGGGTTTCTGTTGCTGTTATGATTTGCATTTGAATTGTTTAAATAAGTAAAATAAATGGTAAGGTGACTGACCCCCACTCATCAGCTATTTACAGTAAATTCCCACTATTACAGAACTACTTGTATCTTTTTATTTCACTGCATTAAAACAACTTATAACGTAACCCAATACTGCCACCTCCTGGTGATGTTTTCCTTTTTTGAATGTTTGCTCTGCATTTAATTTGTTTTTGGTGTAATATTTAAATTTTGTTGTTAAGGTTTGCAGGTGAGGACTCTGAGATGGATCCTGGAGCTGATTCTACAACAAACTGCACTCAGGCTGAAGGTCAGTGGCTCCGGGAGGAAGAGTGTGTCTCTTTAAAGGGGCATTATGGAAGTTTGACAGCCAAAACATGTATAGAAATAATAAATTTCTTCTTCATACATTCTCCTGCAATGCCCTGGTCCTGTAGAATGAGCCCTGGCATTTTTACTGTGATTGCCTATTTTTCTGTAAAATCACAGAAAAAGAGCTGCTCGGGTCGAGCAGGCTGCTTCATGCGTGTTCACGCTCAGGCATAGCCGGTAGCATTTGCTATCCGTAGCTTTAGCAGCAGAGAGAGAGGCAGTGCCACTTTGTTGCTGTTCCTAATGCCTAGTGACAAAGCTAGCTACATTTCTGAGGACCCTTAGCTACTTTCTGTAGAACCTTCTTCTAGACATTTCCTGCAAATTAGCAACAAAACAGCCATTTTCGCTCCGAACCGTTCTTTGAACGTTGTTTCAGCTGTCATCAAGGATATAAATGTTACAGATACATCAAATGACACTGGTGCTTTAGCTCACCTAGTGAGATGTCGGACTCGTACTGAGGACCTGGGTTTGATTCTGGATGTGAACATAGTTCATTTAGAGTTTCTTTTTTACATTAATGGTATATTTTTTTCAGTAAGATGCCCAAATTTTGATTTGAGACTCGCAGAAAAGCATTGAATTCACAGATAAAAAAAGATGTGGGTTCAACTTTCATTTTGGAACAATTTTTCAAACAAGGGAAGGGAATGATCTGAGTATGCAGGAGGACTGACCCATCATAAACCTTTGTCGGCTGTGCTGAAGAGAAAGGTACAGAACCAAATTATTTAATTAGCTGCGTGTTCTCCTGTCCTCTGAGCCACACACACACACACACACACACACACACACACACACACACACACACACACACACACACACACACACACCACACACCACAAGGGACTGTCTCAGCTGTTATTTTCGTTAAGGAGTGCGCACGTACAGCATGCGTGCCTCGTGCACGAGCCTACTATTGAAGCTGCCGTTACGCTTTTGGCCTGAGGGGGCAATCACGAGCATAACAATTGAAAACTCCGTAAAGTCCCTTTAATCTCTTATTTTGTAATGAGCAAGTTGTGTGTGTGTGTGTGTGTGTGTGTGTGTCTGTGTCTGTGTGTGTGTGTGTTGTAGGGGGGTCTTCTCAGTTTGGTTTTCTGGAGCTCTCTCAGAGTCAGGACCTTCAGACTAATGAAAACACAGACAGGAGAAGAACATCGGGTATCTTTTTATTTTTCTAGCTTCCTGATGCAGTTTCGTGTTCAGTTCTGTTTTTCACTCCTGTTGATGCCAAACCACTCAAATAATCAGCCTTTTGTTGGCCCAGCAGATCAGAACATCAGCTCCAGAACTTCAGAGAGTCAGGACCACAAAGCAGCAAGGTACACGTGATGTTTTGAATTCTACGTTCATTTTTTAATGCACATATTTTGCTTTTGGACTGATTTTTCTGTTCTTCTCCAGGTCTGAGGTGAGCTCAAGCAGCTCATCTGAGTGTCCGGCTCAGTCAGGCCACCAAATCAATGTCCAGGTTCTGCTGCACTCCCAGAACCTGCAGGCCTCAGCCGAGCAGGACCATCAGGACTGTGAGGTCCTGTCCTCACAAGAGGATCTGTTTGCTGCTGATAAATCAGGTGCATTCGTAGTTCTATGCATTCATTTCTGCGTTTCAGTTCTTCGACACATTCCAAGCTGTTAGTGCAGTTAGGACTAGAGATGAGATGTATAAACAAAACCCCCATTTATCATTAGATGTGGTAGAAAACCGATTAAAAGACTAACTGACATAAATGTCGTAACTGATGTGAATTTGGTTGTTTCTCGGCTTTTTGGCGGCGTACGTTAATTAGCTAACTTCCAAACTGTTGACTGCTGCCATCACACAGAAATATCAGCTAAATTAAAAACGCCTGATTCAAAGTCTTTATTGTTATTTAAAGACAACAAAGCAGCAGAAGAGCAGCTAATAATATAAAATACAAAAATAAAGTGAATTAAGTGAAAGTTTGTCATCTCAGCAGCAGGAGCCGGTTTGCTGCTCTACATTTAATAAATAACTGTTCATCTAAACCTCCCAGCTGCAGCAGTCGACAGCACCGTATCCGAGCCAGAGCAGCGAGGTCTCCCCACCCCGACACCCGGCCAAACCCTCCATCTGCTCCATCTGTCTGGACAGGGAACACTGGTGCAGCAAAGTCTGTCCCAGTAAGCCCCACGCCCTTCTCATGTTCTATGTCCTGTAACACACACACTGCAGCAACGCGCTGATGTTTGGTTCTGTTCTCCAGGACCTCCGTTGATTTCGTCGCCCCCACCCCAGAACACTTCTCCCACACTCCTTTAATCATTCCCAGCTCACCAACCGAAGCAGAAAATGAAGGCGGTAAGTGGTTCGTGATTGGGTTTAAATAATAAGAACCGGTGGGCCGGTGACAACAGCTCAGATTAATTTGCTTTGTCGAGCGCAGATGAACCGATGGACACGTCACTCCCCCCTCAAGACCGAGCTGGTGAAAAGGAAGAGCCAATGGAAACCGAGGCCGAGTTGAAGCCACGCCCATCAGTCTCTACCCCCTCATCCCAGAACTCATCCATCTTGGCTCTGGGGCCAACTCTCCCTCTACCCTCCCAGCCAGAGTTCTCTCATGTACGTGCTTCATTTTCTTTTTCTTTTTTTACTTCTGATCAAGTAACAAAAGGTATAATAAAGACTCGGCCCATCGCCTTTCATGTCGGAGTTTTACCCTGAGATGATCGCGTGTGTTTCTGTTGTTACTGACTCAGATACTGATACATGATCTATGAGACAATCACCGCAGAGGTGATGTGCCATCTCATCTTGTCCAAATAACAATCCATTGTTTAAAAAGCAAAGATGTTTATGAAAAATGTTATTTTTGTATCCGTTTCACCAGGACGCCTTCGTCCCAACACAGAGCCAGGAGGCACCTCAACAGTCGTGTAAGAAGTCTGCATCCTCTCCTCGCGAGCCACAGTCTCAGCACCAGGAGTCAGCTCGGTCCTCCTCGCCTCTGCAGCTCTCCGTGAACACGGAGAGCTGCGATCCACGTCCAAACACCCCCGATCAGGTTGAGGACGACAGTCAGGCCACGCAGATAGAGGAGCTGGGAGATCTGCTGGGTGTGGACACCGGCGACTCTCTGCCTTTACGTCAGTGTCAGAAAACTGAAGGTCACCTCGTTCTGTTAGAGCCACAAACCTCCACGACCTCCAAGGCTTCCATCCCTGCTGAGTCGGCGCAGCATCACAGCAGGACCGTTCCGCCGCTGCAGTCTGATGGACACAAATGCGCAGGAGCCTCTCTGAATGAACAGAATGTAAAAGATGTGAACTCCAGTGACCAGACTGAGTTAAAGCTGGACTCCTCTGATGTGACTGTTAACAGCTGTGTGCCGGAGACGCCTTCCATCACTGCGTCCTGCAGTTTGCCTTCACAGACGTCTGCTGTCAGCTCCGTGGCTAAGTGGCAGGAAGTGGTGAGCAGCATCCCAAAGGATAAGGACAGGATGAATGAAGGAGAGCAGGGCGATGAGGAGGAAGAGGTGGTGATGGAGGCGGAGAACACCAGTGGCGTTTCAGGAATTGCTCTGGTCCTCTCCCAGAGCCAGATGTTGTCCCCTGAACCCATGGAGGACGAGGAGAGTCAAGATCAGCATCAGTACGGCGTCATCATTGTAACGGACAGCGAGAGGTCAAAGGCTGACATCTCCCAGCCGGTCAGAGACGAGCTGTCAGTCTCTGCTAATGGCCACCAGTCACAGAGTCAGAAAGAAGTGGATGCTGCTGCTGGGTTTTCCCAGATGGAAAATGTTGATCGTGAACCAGAAGGAGTCAAAGACAAGAGTCTGAGCGATAGTTCAGGAGGTGAGCTCTGAGCACTTTTATCCTCTCTGTAAATACTTCCCTAACCTTTTTATTTGCTTACCTAAATAAAACTCCATCAACAAGAAAAACCAAACAGCAACGTGGATTTTTAGCTGAGAGCTCTTGTCTCCTGATTTCTCCTTTTGTGTCACAGACATTTCCTTCCACTTCACTCTTCCCAAAGAAGGGGAGCTGATTGGTCCTGCTGGAGCCACGCCGCCTCTGATCAACCAGCTGAAGCAGACTCTAAGACACAGCACCCCCATTGGTGGGTTCTTTTACCCCAGACCCTCACTGACACGAGATCTCCTTCTGAGTTGGCTTATTTGCTTTCTGCAGAGATCGCCCCCTTTTCTGAAAGGACGGATGTGGTGAGTGCTGCCAGCGACGGAGCGCTGGTGGAAAATGAAGAGGATGCAGCTGAGAAGGGAGATGGGAGGCTGAGTTTGAGGATGAAGCTGGTGACCCCCGTGGAGGAGGGCAGCTCAGAGCGCTTCAGTCTCCAGAGTGAGAACCGTTTCCTGGCTGTTTCATCAGATACGATCCACAGAAACGATGCTCACTCTTATAACCTTCTTTTCTTCAGAGCCTACTCTGGAGGATGGAGCCGTCGCCATGGTTACCACCGTTTCAACAGCTGTATCCAGGTAACACGACATTCAGACCCTCACGTGATCTTAAATCCTGCTTTTAAACACCGGTCCTACCATAGTTGTCTTAATTCTCATCTGCTCGTAACCGTAAGATGGTGAAAAGCACAAATGACACCAGTTAACAAGCTCATCAAGCTGTAGGAAAAATGTCCGTTCTTTTGCAATCTTATTAGATTCTTTTTGTTTCACATTTTTAATCCTCCTTTTTAATATCATCGCTCTTTCTTCTTCTTGATGCTTAAATCGTTGTTTAGAAGCTGCAGGCTGGGTTCACCCTACAGCAGCCAAAAGTTCAAACACCTGCAGATTTACTTCAAGAAGCTTAAAGGTGTTGAGTTTTTTTTACAGGATCCAGTTCCTTCTCTTCCATTTCTGCCTCTGATTATGAGTTTGAGTCCAAGCAGGAACCAGAGGATGAATGTGAGAAGGTTGTAGAGTAGCCAGAGAGGTTCTGCTCTGTAGCCACACCTGCAGCTGTAGTTGGTCATCAGAATAACTGAGGTGATGTGTGATGTTGCAGCAGCCCGTCTGTGTTCACGCGGGTCCGACAGGTGCACCGACAGCAGGAGGCGGAGGAGGACCACCAGCCTGCATGCATCACCTCACCTGTCAGGTAAGAGGGCCCTCAGAGGGCCAGTGCCACATTAGGCTGCAGCGGTTGTTAACAAATTGCAAACGTCGTTTAAAAAAGGTTTAAAAAATGTTTCAGCCGCGTTTCCGCTATCGGAACTTCATCTGGAACTTCCCGGTATGCGCGTATCTCCACTTCACCGGCTGGCTGAATGGCTGCTTTCAGGAACTTTTGGAGTACCTGAACAGGTGTAGGTACTTGGAATGGCTCAGTGGAGAAGCTTAGCTGAACCTTAGGTTAACCTGCACTGATTGGTTATAACTCAGTAGCATAAGCATTAGTAAATTTAGAAGAGTTCCTACTGAAGCAGAATGAAAGCACAATCACATAATCACAGATCGTGCTGCTTTACAATTACCATTACTAAACTCTTAACACAGAAAACACCTGGAATTCCACCCCAACAGCATAACTCACGGGGCTCTGTTGTCTCATAAGGAGCCTGAGTCACTTCTGCACCACGGGTCCCCGGAAGAACGAAAAAACGAATGCATGATGTCCGTGAATTTTAAAGACATTTCGATACCAAGAACGCATTTATTTTCGAACAGGGGGAAACGCTATTTTAGGTTTTGTGTGAAAATAAGTCCAGGACTACTAAAGTGATGTCATTGAACCAGACACGGAGAAGACGGAGGGAAAGGGGCTGTAAGTTCAGCAACCTTCCCACAGGAGGAAAGAACCACCATAAATCTGGTCATGTGGTGAGTAGCAGCTACGCTACGGGGGAGGAGATTATGTGTTGACGTCACATATGCGACGTGCCGATTTCTGGTGTGTAGTCACGCTAATTACAAACTTTTACAAGCTAATAAATCTCAAACTACGTGACTGGCGTGGTCGAAACACCCGTCATTACTTTTCATTGACATTGAAGTACAACATATGTGATCCAGGGCGTAAGGCAAAGTGGATTAGACAATAACGTTTTTAGCCCCGTTGACTTGCATTCGTTTTTTCGTTCTTGCAGGAGCCCATGAGCCGACCGGAAAGGGAGGAGACTTAGGCTCCATAAAGAGCGCTGTAAAAAACAGAGATTCTTCTGGTGATTGAACGCCACATTTTACATCACACAGCTGCTCTCGTCCTCCGCGTGGATTAAATTATGCTGTACTTTGACTGGATAAAACTTTTAATGTTATTTATGTTGATGTGAACTTGACCCAATCTACACTACGGCCCTCAGCAAAGTGCACTCGGAGGAAGGGAACAGTAGGCTTCGAGTGTGAAGTACACAAGTGTGCAAATAATTGTCGAATTGGGACAGTGAGCATTGCGTCGTCGACTTCAGGATGCCGGTCCCTGCTTGTACTACTTTAAAAAAAATCTTTGTTAACGACATTCAAATAAAAATAATTTAACAAAATTTCCATTTGCTGCGGTCCACAGTGAATGTTAGTCTTAGAGCACGGGTAAATCTAATGAATTGTTCTGAAATGAACTTCTTTTGAGTAAAAGATAAAAATTTGGTTCTAATATTGAAGATTTGATTTTCCATGAACATAAAAATGCTTTGTTTCTTGACTGGAGGGGAAAAAGCTCTTTTTCATTTTTATTTTTAACATTTGACTGTTGACTCTGCAGTTGATAAAAATAAACGGTTCGCTGTTCTAGGGCTGCTCGATTATGGCAAAAATAATAATCACGATTATTGTGACTGAAATTGAGATCTCGATTATTTAGGACGATTTTTCAATTTATGTTGATTTTATTTGTTTTTATTCAGTCATAAAATTGCTCAGGGCACAATCGGGACAAAAATAAGAAACAAGATGATCACTAAAAGAACTCCTGATTCCCAGTATAAAAAGACCAACATACTTATAGCTCATAGTTTATGACCCAAGGGCTATAGACCTTGGTTTAACTCATTTAAGTCTAACCAGTACAGACCCAAATACCAATATCTTGCAAATACTGACAGCAAGAATTATACAGTGGCATTTATAACAAATAAATGCAAATAAATTGATGTTCACAAAATGTTGCATAACATTTATTGAGTCGTGTCAAGGTGCTGTAGGAGAGTGCACTAGCACCGTGTCCTCAGAGAGATTAGTTATTAGTTATCAGCATGAGGAACTTATTTCTACCTTATTTATAATTTACAAGTCCATCAGTTAATTTAATAATTGTCCCAACCACAGCTGCACCCCCCAACCCCCAACCCGGTCTCACAGCAATCAGGGGCAAGCTGCATGTGTGTTTAGCACGCCGCACGCGCACATTCAGCCGTTTTTAGTGGCTCAGGAGCCCACAGGTGCGGTGTGTGTGTCGCTCACTCTGGTTAATCCAACAGAGCTGACTCTGAGAGCTGTTTCTTTAGAGACTGACACGTCACTACATCATTCCCTTTCCTAATGTCCTGAAGAACGGTCCGGAGCGCAGGCGGAGTGTTTAGCTAACCGGCAGGAAATGTTGACAACAGTTATCCAGAAAGTAGCTAAGGGTTACCAAAGATGTTTCTGAGGTGTTCGCTAGGTACTTTTAAGTTAAAAAGTCTAGAAGGGGGTCTGAAAAGCTGTTATAAATAGCGTCAAAGTCGCCAAGTTGGCAACACTGTGGGAGGAGCGCTTCATTTGCAACTCAGGGCAGCGCAAGCGGGAGGAGCAAATAATCGGCTTGTTTTGTTTTTTATAATCGTTCAAAACTCAGATCGTAATCGTGATTAAAATTCGATTAATTGAGCAGCCCTATGCTGTTCTACATTCAAAGTGTCCCAGTCTAACCAGCGAATGAATCCAAAACACCTGCAAAGGGTTCCTGAGCCTTTATATGGTCTCTCAGTCTTTGTTGATTTACTGACAAATGTTTCCAGTTTCATGCTTGGACTCGCCCCTCTGACGACTTGAGGTGTGACTTATTAAGTTGATTTGGATTTACTCCTGAAAGACTTGACTTGAATCGGACTCACCGTCTACAGACCTGAAACTTACCATTGGATTTGCAAAATGTCAGTTTTTAATGTTTATATTTAAATTCTTTGTTTTTGTGCCTTCTTTGCTGTAACAACGGAACATATCCTCTGTTGCCTGAGCTATTGGTGAATTTTGACTCTCTAGTTTCATTACCACGGACTCATTTGTCTCTTCCAGAGGGAAGCTGTTCTCCTTTCCGCTGAGAAGCTCTCAGACATCATCTCTGGGGTGCAGCAGTCTCCCGAACAGCCAATCAGAACAACAGGATGCGCTACCAGAGCCACAGGAGAACCTTAAAGGTTCCGCTGTCTCCATTGAGTCGTCTGAGGAGAGACGAGGACACTCTCGAGCTCCACCTCCTCCTCCTCTGAACAACGCGGATGTTGGACCGAAGTCCCATCAGACGCCCAACAACGACACCACCTCCACTCCACCCAGCAAGGTTGTTAGTGCCAGTAACGAGGATTCGTCTGAAGTGTGTTTGCCAGGCTCCTGCTGGGTGATGAAGTAGTTCTCACAGAGTTTATTGGCATCCATAAATGATAGAACACTGTGCTCACTCCCTGCTGAAGAGGGGAAACTGCCTGACTGAGTCTGATTTTAGGACTAGTGAAAGGGAAATAAAGTTCATGCTTCTGCTTTGAAGATAAAAATATTTGTGAAGTTTCTCTTTAAGCTGTTAGGCTAACAGTTAGTCTCATGATGAGTCCCGATGGCGTGTGTTTCAGCTCCGGCAGCGGACCGTATCCCAGCAGACCAGCCTCGACGGTCCGGGCCTGCGCTCGCCTCCCGGCCGGGTACGGACACTCGTGGAGCTAAAATAGTTTCTGTTCACGTCCGATGCGGTTGTGCGGTTCACACTCTGATTTCACCTTCATAGGGTGATCCAGAATCGCCGTCATTCAGAAGAGCCGCCCCCTCGGCCCACCGCAGACATGTGCGCACCACTCAGGAGGTGCGGACCACCGTCACACGGATCATCACAGACGTGTATTATGAGGATGGCAAAGAGGTGGACCGCAGAGTCACCGAGGTAACAGTTCTGTGTGTGTGTGGCTAACCTCTGTCTGACTGATTATGACCACATTTATATCTAGACTCTTTTCAAGCAATAAGACCTTCTGTAGTCATTCTGAAGGATTTCCAGAATCCATGTGAACCCTGAGGATGTCACTTCTGTGTTTTCAGGAGAGTGAAGAGCCTGTGGTGGATTTCCAGGTCCTGGACAGCGACATCTCTCCGTGCCGCACAGGTAGCTGCTCTCTGACCTCTGGTGACCTGGGTGACATCAGCTCCCTGTCGTCCAAAGCTTCCAGCCTCCATCAGAGCTCCGGAGGAACCAGCGGCAGCACCGGAAACCCCAGACCTGACTTCCTTATGCCCTCGAGCAGAGGAGCCAAATCCAGCAGGTACTGCCCTGCTTATGTCTGCGTTTCTCTCTGATCTCGACGCTTTCCTGTCCTGCTCTAGCTGCATGCAGAGTCGACACGTCTTCTGACCTTCTAACAGCCTGATATCTCCGTGATTCACTGATCCTCACTTGCTTCAGCTTCAGGTTGTCATAGGCAACAGTCTGGGGCCGCTTACACGCTTCCAAAGCCCCCTCAGACCAGTGCCTGTGCAACCTGACTGCCTCTGTTCGTCCCCTCTGTGTGTTTGCAGTCCCAGGAGGGGAGGTGGGCATCAACAGAGGGGTCACAGGGGTCACAGGGCAGGGTCAGTGGTCACACTGGGCAGAGGCAGCAGCACCTTTGGGTCCCGGGCCTTCGTCCCGCTGACACCCAGAGGAAGGGCTAGAAGGGGCCGGCCCCCGTCCCGCTCTTCCCTGTCCAGGTGAGTCCGCCCACACCTGGCTGGAATCAGGAAACAGACTGCTGCAGCCCTCACTGCTACGAATAACTCTTCACTTTTCCTCTTTTCACTAATTCTCTTCTGCAACTAATAACTTAGTGTTTGATCGGCTTTTCTTTCCTCCCTAAAAACACGAAAATCTAACGGTCATCAAGGACCTTCAACAAAACCCTAAAAACAGCAGCTTCTCGATGACACGGAGCTGGTTTGTGATGCTAACCCGCATTTTGATCAAAGTTGCTATAAGTACAAATTTATTGAGATCCATAAATAGCAGAATCTGTTCTTAGACTCTCACAGACAAACCAGTAAAACCAGTAGAAGGTTTTTAACTGGTGTTCAGTAGCAGGAGCTGTGCGGGTCTTGAGAAAACATTCACTCTTCCTTTTAGGGGGGTTGGTATTGGCTCGCTGCAGAGACTTGACGCTCAGAGCCGGACACAGACCTCCTCGGAGGACGAGCCTTACTCCCACATGCTGCCTCCACGCCTCCCCGCCAGCCCCACAGACCCCGAGCCGTCCAGCCGCTCGGATTCCCTCAGGTCGTCGCCGGACGAGACGAGCTCAGCTGGGAGCAGCTTCGTCGGCCTGCGGGTGGTCGCCAAGTGGTCGTCTAATGGCTACTTCTACTCAGGCCGCATCATAAAAGACGCCGGCGAAGGGAGTTTCCGCCTTCGGTTCGACGACGGCTATGAGTGTGAGGTGGCCGGGAAGGATATCCTTCTGTGTGACCCCATCCCCCTGGAGACGGAGGTCACTGCCCTGCTGGAAGACGAGTACTTCAGCATAGGTGAGGAAGACTAGGAGCTCTGTAGCTTGTTGAACTGATTTTGTTACTTGCTGTGGCTAACGTGCTCTGACTCTGATGTATGCAGGTGTTATTAAAGGCCATAAGACAGAAGGTCAGGATCTGTTCTACAACGTGGAGAAGGACGGCCAGAGGCAGTGGTACAACCGGACGGCGGTCATCCTGTCTCTGGAGCAGGGGAACAAGCTGAGGGAGCAGCACAGCCTCGGGCCCTACGAGCCCTCCGCTCCACTGGCCAAAGCCTCCGACATCAGTCTGGGTAAGAAAACGTGTCCTCCAGACCAGAGAGCCCGAGTCTGACTGTTTCTGACCTTCGGTTGTCTTCCTTTAGATAACCTGGTGGAGGGGAAGAGGAGGCGCAGAGGCACCCCCAGCGGTCAGAACACACCCAACCGCAGCTCCTCCAGCAGCCCCCGGACCCCCGGCCCCTCTGGCAAAAGGAAGCTGATGTCCTCTGAGGAAACCCGGACGCCCTCTAAGCGAGGGCGCAGAGGGGGAGGAGCCAGAGCTGGTATGGGGACCCGCCCACCAGGACCAGACACTCCTCTGATTGGTTTAGAACAGTTTTAAACCAGCTGGGATTCAATTTTATAAAAAGAACTGAATCAGATATTTTATTTTATGATTGAATTATCTGATGTGGGGGGGGGGGGTAGAACTTTTTTTTTTTATGAATGAGACTTTTAAAAAGATAATTGATACTAAAATTACATTTTAATGTTTTAGATTGTGTCTTTCCTCTTATACTGACTTCTGATGAGGTGTTTTAGTGTGAATTGAGTTGTGTGATGTTTATGAGTGTAACTAACACATTTTGACCTCTATGTGACCTCTGTCCATCCTCTGATGCTATTTGATGGCTTCTTCTCAGGCTGACTTGGTAATCAATAAGCCACTGATGGTTGGGGTGTTGGGTCCACAGGTGGAGGGATATCAGGGTGTAATAGTACATTTGGTCTTCATTCACAGATGTTTAAATGTGGTCATTCACCACACTTTCAGATAAGGTTGTGTTGCTAAAGTATAAAGTAGCGATGATTTAGCTGAATTTGCGTTTATTTGGAATATCGTAAATGGTTTTGATCAGACGTTTTCCAGACTTTCTGAAGGTTTTTCCAAACTTTTTCTCAAGACTTGATTGATTTCTTTTTTCCACTCATTTTCAGTCCTTGAGTCTGAATGGTTGGGTTTATTTCAACTCCAACCCATAACTCCTAAATAATAGACTGCAAATGCATGAAATGACTGATGATGCATGTTTCAGGTCTAGTGGCAATCCTGTTCAGAACCTGTTCATCTTTTTTTTTCCTCATCTGTTTGACCAGATTCCTCAAATCTTACGATAATCCAGCGACATCACCGGGGCAACTCTACAGATGAGATTCACATTATTGCTGTTTACAGTCTGTAAAACTGCATTTTTAGGATCAACGAGGTCATCTCATCTGTGAAACTGGAATATTTAATATTTTTTCAGCCAAAGAAAGTTGTGTCTGACAGGTTGATGGCTGTAAAATCCAAAAGAAAACCTTCAAAATGTCTGGGAAACACACACATAAGACTGGCTGCTTGGGAGCAAAATGTGAAGAATTTTTAGGACTTCTGCACGGAACTAAGTACGTAATTTCTTTAATAACTGCGTCCCTGTCTCCAGCTCAGCGGGTGGGTGTGTGCAACACCTCCGGCAGCGGCACAGATCTGGCTGATCGGCCGTGTGACATAAGCGAGTCACATGGCCCGCTGCCTCAGAACGCGTCTCTGTTCATGGGCTTCGCCTTCATGCTGACGGCCTCGTCAGAGAGCGACCGTGTTTCCAACAAGACCAGCACCAGCGACGAGGAGGAGGGTGAGACAGATCAGAGTACTGTTACTCTTGGGATCGTTTCATGTTTAAAACAAAACTTATTTACCGCTCAGATGTTTTTTCGTTTCTTCTGTGCTAAAGCAGATACAGGTTAGATTTAGTTCATTATTAAGGAGCTCTCTTTGGTTTATTAACAGATTATGTGCAGACAGGACCGTACAACAAAGCCTACACGGAGTCCCAGCTGCAGGCAGGTGGAGGCTTCATCCTGCCCGACTTCAACGAGGAACAGGTTTCATTTAAAACTATTACCTGTCGAACTTCTGGGTGAAATGTTGGACGTAAAAGTTTTTTGTTTTGTGGTTGTGGTTCAGTTTTTCCTTTAAAGCAGCCACATTTTCCATTAATCTGCTGATCAGCTCTAAATGTTCATGCATGGGCTTTGGCTGTTTTATCCACTCTTTTAGTGTAGAACCATTTTTAGATCAGTATTAGTGACGGGAATTCCGGCTCTTTTTAGAGAGCCCGTTCTTTTGGCTCAGCTCACCAAAAAGAGCCGGCTCTTTCGCCTCCCAAGTGGCTCCTCAGATTTTCAGTTGCGTTGAGTCCATTTATAACCAAAATAATGCAAAACTATGTTAAATGATTTTCTAATGTAAAAAAAATGCAATATATCAAATATTTGTCATTTCTATGGATTTAATAACTGAACACTTTAAGAAATCTCCACTTTCCAACTGCTGGCACTCATTTTCTCACCGTCTTCGTCGCACTCTCCTTTCTCTCTCGTCTTTTTCCTCCTCTTCATTCCCTCTCGTCTCCCTCCACCCGCATGTGCTCTGCTGTGTGTCTTGGAGTCTGATCCTCCCTCTTCCCTGTCCCTACTGCTCTGTGTGTGGACAGTCTGGACACGCAGTTACACGTGTTGACCAATCGCCTGTAGCTTTCACCAAAGCAAAAGGGGAGGGGGCGGCTCCCAATGACGAGCCGGCTCCCGTCGCTCACTGCAAAGAGCCGGCTCTTAGAGCCGGTTCGTTCGCGACCGACACATCACTAATCAGTATCATTAAGTCTCGGCATCAAGTAATAAAGAAGAAATGTGGCTGAAGACTTTTGCACAAATGTTTTTAAGGGTTAAGGCTACTGTGCTTCGTTCTCCTCCAGTGTAAAGCTGCGTACCAGAGCCTGCTGATTGCGGACCAACACTGCCGTACCAGGAAGTACCTGCTGTGCCTGGCCAGCGGCGTGCCGTGTGTGTCTCATATTTGGGTGAGAGACTGCTGCAAAGAGAACAAGCTGCTGAACTACAGGAATTACCTGCTGCCCGCTGGCGTGGGGCCGAATGATGCTATAATGGAGTGGTGAGCTGAGGCCTCGTCCTGCTGTTGATAGATCTGAACTACGAGCTGCTGTGGATTAAACAAAATCAACATGACCTCATTTGCTACTTTGTTTTTCTTCAGGCATCCTCGATCCAGCCCGTTCAAGGCGCTGCGGGTCCTCCTGGTGTTTGAGAAGACAGCGGAGCTCTGGGCCCAGCTGATGACGATGGGCGGAGCTTCTTCTGTCCGACACTTCCAGCCAAACAAGGACAGCTCAGGTAACAGATCCACTTCCCAAAGACCACAGCTGAGTATCTGAAAAGCAAAATGACCGTTTGCTCTCCTGTCTGCAGACATTCCTGCTGGAAAGTACGACGTGGTGGTGACAGACCAGGCCTGTCCACCGCAGGTGGAGAAAAAAGTGACTTCACAGGAAGTCCCGCTGGTGTCTCCTGAGTGGCTGATCCAGAGTCTGATCTGCGGGGAGTGCCTCGGTTTCCACAGCCAGCCTCAGTTCCACCACGACCACTCCTCCTCCTCCTCCACCTCCTCCTCCTCATAATCCGATTCCAACTTGTTGACATGCCTTCGACCAAGCTCAGTGTTCAGCATTAGTTCTGTTGCATGCCTCTGCTGTATATAACCTGTCTGTTTTTATGGATAATAAATTGTGACTTGTTTCATTTAAACCGATTTTAGGTTTATTTTATGTACAGGAAATGAAACCAGGAGCATTTCTTATATTTACACTTTATACAAGGTGATGTCTAATCCCAGACACAAACATTACCGAGAACATTCATCTGCTTCTGCCTTTATATAATAAACTTCATCTCAAACACGTGTCAGAATAACCAGGAACATTTATGATCAGAGCAAAGACCCGGACCCGCTTCCTTGATTTGTTCTATTTTCTCAGATTATAAAAATTAACCACTAACTTAGTGGCAAGTTCAGATGAGTCAGATGGGTTTATTTATCAGGACCTTAAAAGCTACGAGTTCCATAGGAAGCTCTGGGCTTGAGTAAATGAGAGGAAGTGTGGGTGTTTAGTCTCAGTAGGCATGCAGCAGTGAATTGGAGAAACACGCGGCTTCTGCTGATGGTCAGATCTTCATCCTTTCTGCTCCTCTTAGACACTGAAACAAGAACCATTTTACGCTGTTGGTTAAAGCGCGTCCAACCACAGTTGGATGAATGAACGTGTTATCCATGCCCTACCCGCCCAAAGTGCCCCCAGCTTGTGTGTAGTATTTGTTGTAGTCCAGACGCAGTAACAGCTGAGCCAGGTCCGAGTTGATCTGATGGTTCCTCACACTTGAGAGGATTTTGAACAGCAGGGACGACTGGCGTCTAAAACCCTGAAATTTCAGAGTCCGCTCTGTGAAACAGATCTTTAGACAACATCTGCTCAAAACTGCTCCTCCAGGACTTACCTTTACCAGCAGGTCCAGCTGAGCAGTTCCTCTTTCATCTAGTGAAGCCACATTCTGACTCGCCAGAGAGCAGAAGTTCTGACACAGCTCCAGGATCTCATTCAGACAGTGGAACACCTGAGGACACACGTTACCATCAGACCTTCTGTCGTAAACACCCATGATGAGTCTTGTCAGCAGGCTGAGCTCTACCGGTTTCAGGAGGATGAAGGACTGGGCCAGCAGGTTGCTGAGGAAGTGATCGTGGGCCAATCGGATGCTCTCAAAGTCTCTGGTGGAGTTGATCTGCTGCAGCAGCTGAGAGAACTGAGACTCTAGAACGTCCACCTGAAGAGGAACAAATAAACATCAAGCAGGTCATCTGATCAAATCTGAACCGAAAGACGTGGACAAACCGGTTCGGGTATGAAACAGTTTATTACAGTTTGAAAACACTCATCCTTAAACATCTGCCAGGCTTCCTCACCTGTAAGTAGTACTGCAGGTTGTCGATCAGGAACGCCATGTGGTTCCTGAGTCTCCACTTCACAGCGTCCGTCTGACTAGACAGGTGTTTCCTCTGCATCTGCAGCGCCCAGCAGTGCTGCAGCTGTGACTGCACCCGCCGCACGCTCAGCAGGTACCTGAACACCACATTGTACCTGAGCAGGAGGAGGAGCAAACAGGAGGTGAGGGTGGTCACAGCTACACACATGGGCTTTAGAAAGGAAGTACGCACTTCTCCAGAACGGCAGGAGTGAAGAGGATGTGCAGCGGCCACTGAACCTTGTAGGTGAGGCCGAGAGCCGCCCAGCCGGTGGGAGGAACCTCACGAGGGGAGGTGTCCTGAGGAGGAGTGGCCCCGTCTCTGGGGCCTGACGCCTCTGGAGACGATGGACAACGGTGTAAATGGGAAGGAGCTATGTACCTTACATGAGACTCCTCCTACTGTAAGATCTAAAATATAATTTTATCCTGATTTAAGTACCTTCTTAAATCCTCACTAAGCTGCAGCGGTTACCAGAAACAGACAAAGTAGAAGCACTGGAAAAAGAAACTACAAGTATAAGTTCTTCACATGACTCTTCATCTGGCTCAGAGGTCTCCAACCCTGGATGAGTTCTCTCAATGCAGCTACAGTCCTCTATGAAGTGCATTGGTGGAAGCACAAGTAGGCCAAGGCTTCGAGTGTGTAGTAAACAAGTAACGCAAACAACTGCAGAATTGGGACGGTGAGCATTATGTCATCAACCTGCACCACTGCGTCGTATCTCAGCGACTTCCTACATGTGGATGCAGGTCGCTGTTTGTGTTATTTTGCTGCTTGAATTGATTTTAAAACTGAATAATATTAAAACAAGTCATTTCATTGCTGGCATGCCGTGTCCACAAACACTCACCATCACCATTATTAGTTCATATTTTTCAACAAACATGTAACGCATGTTTGCAACAGAGAAACTTTAGATCACACATGTACACAACAATAACATCTTCTAAAAGGGCACATGAGCCATTTCTCCGCCTCTAAATTCCCCAAGGCTGATTTTTTTTTCCTCTTTTATTTTCCTTCATGACCTTAATATAAAAAACAAGTGAACCTTTGCTCTCTTTGCCCTGGTAGTCCACAGTTAGATGCAGCAGAGGCAGCAGGTTGTCGTCGTCCAGCAGCACCTTATGAGCAGCCTGCTGGAACGCCACGTTCACGTCTGGAAGGAGAAAACAGTCTCAGCACATGAAATCCATGACTGCTGCTAGTAGTGAACACAAATTCAGACACTTTTCATCAACAGAAACCAGCAGATGGTGGAAGCCCAGGTGTACAATGACTTTTTGGTCACAACCCACTAGAGCTAAATCAGAAGGTGAGGGCGACTCTGTGCTTCTGTTGTCTCTTATTAGCTGTAAGGTGACCCAAGCGGCTTAAACAGGCCAACATCTCGGTCTCTGCACAGACTAAAAAAAACTGGGTCAGCCACACAAAACAAGGCCAAAACCTCCTCTAAATGAATTAGAATTTTCTAAAGAGAATTGAAAACAAGTCAACTAAATGGTTTGTTTCACAGAATATTCTGGAGTGAGTGAAGGAGGGAGCAGGAGATCAGGGCACACGTCTGCAGTGGTGTGGATGCTGAACTGGTCAGTTGAGGTGAAGAAAGCGTTAAGCCAGACAGTGAAGGTGATCTTCATCTCGATCCTGACTTTTGGCCATTAGCGCTGAGTAATGCCAGAAACAAGATCATGAACACAAGCGGCTATAAGGAGTTTCCTTAGCAGGGAGGTTGGGCTCAGCCGTTGAGAGGGAGGAGCAAGCAGCGGAGCCGCTGCTCCTCCGTGTTAATAGGAGCCAGCTGAGGCGGTTCAGGCATTTGGTCTGGATGCAGGTTTTGTAACCTGTGGCTCCCTGAAAGACTGAGTATGTGTATTCAAATATATCAGCGTGGAATACTCCTTCAAGGTTAAAGTGTTGTGGGAGCTACAGGATCAAATCTGTCTTATTTACTAAGGTTTCTTGCTTTTTGTTCCTTTGAACTCTATTTCTGGGTTCTTAGCAGTAGTATCTCATTACCTGAAGTTTGAAACCTCCAACCCACAAACCACACACACAACAATCAATTCAATAAATTAAATATATTGAAATATGTAACAATTTGTAATATTCATCATAAAGGGAATAAATGCTAAATTCCCTCTCCTAGAGAGCTCTTAAAGGAATGATAAAAATTGAACAATCAATAAATAGACAATAAAAAAATAAATAAAAAAATAAATAAATACATAAATAAATAAATAAATAAATAAATAAAACCAATTGTCCTTTAACAAAGTGTTCAGGACTATGTCACACAGTCTTCTTGCTTTTGGGCAAATTGATAATTCAGTCCACTAAAATGTTGGAAAGTTGCCAAAAAAAGTGTCCAAACCCTCACTCAGGAAGGGAAAAAAACCTTAGTCCTTTGAATCGTGTAGAGGTCTTAAATGATCCTACCACATCTTTGATGAGACAGGATATGATGAAGACATCCTGCCATGGATGTGGCACCCATGAGTATTAATACCTCCCCAGTGGACCAAAGCAGTGCATCTGAGTCTTTAAATGTGTTGGCTTTCCAGGCAGGAAAAGGTGATTTAAACCTCAATCAACAAGCCTGCATAAAACATATGCAACAAAATTATAATAATGTCACTGTCTGTTTTCTATTATCTTCCAAACTCACAAAATAACTATACTTGGAAAAGTAGATTTCATTAACAAAATAAATATAAAAGCAAAACAAATCACCTTATCTTCACAGGAAATTTGTGTACAATTCATTTTCTCAACAGTTTAACACATCTACTCACAGAAACTGAGCTAACAGCTAGCCGGGTGGCTTAAAAATGTGGCTACACGAGACCGTCACAAATGGTCAAAAACATACATATATTTCACAGAACATAGCTTAGCATAGCTTACATCAACATTTTTTTCTACTTTGTTTCACATCTACATATACATTCAGTCCATGAAACATTAGATTAACTCACCAAAGGGTTTCTTCAAAAAACAAATCGAGGTCTACTTCTAACGGCTCCTCCTTCAGTAGCGAACACACTCTATAATCATAAAACACTTTTGTTTCAATAAAAACTTCTCACAAATAATCTTAAACCCTTCTTAAGTGATGAACCTTACATTTCTAGAAGCTTCCAGTCACCTATTGCATCGCTGACGGCAGTTAGCTGAACTTCTGCTCACCTGTTCAGCCTAACGGACAAAAACGTTTTTTTTCTCCGGTGTGGGGAGGGCTGCGCAGCTCGGCTCCATGCTGCGTTCAAGTAACCCTCGTAATTTTTTATACTAACGAAAAACGGTTCCTAACAATGGAGAATTTTTTAAAGGAATTTAGGCTCAATAACCCTGGAAGATAACCCGGGTTACATTCTCCCCCTCTAGATGGCATGGGTCCCTTCATGCGTTGCTATGGATAAAGGGACTTCACGGCACAATGCAGCAACAAAACCTCGGAGAAATAAACTAATTGCTTGGATCAAGGGTTCACCCAACTGATTATATGTGAGTCTCTGAGGTGGGTGTCTGTCTCTACTGGAACGTCTCAGGTCGCATGATGGCAAGTCACAAGTGACAGGCTCTGAGCCATCTAGGATTTGCTCAGCATTGATATCTGCTGCGTAATTACTGTCAGCTGATGCAGATGACGGTTCTGTGGGAATGTCAATGACAACATAGTCTTTATCCACACAAGGGGATCTATTAGGCAGAAACTGCCCGTCATCATCCACATGACAAGGTGAGATTTGCCTTTTCTCATTCCTATTCGACATCTCACGATCAGACACAGAGGTATGCGAAATGACACCAAAAGCACTGGGGTCTGTGTCGCAGGTGCGTGACAGAGGTACAACATCCTTATTAGTTGATATATAAGGACCCCTAGTAATTATCTCTGGAATCAGCTGACTGGAGTTCAGTTCATCCTGATCACTCACTTCATCCTCACTGTTGTCTGGGTCACCTTCTTGGTGATTTTGCATCTGTCTCAGATCTTTGCTTCTCAATTTCATTTTTTTTCCTTCCTTTTCATGAATTCCATGTTCAATTATTTCTTCCACGGGTAAGAATCCACATGGTAAGAGGAGGTCTCGATGCAAGGTGCGTTGTGGTCCTCTTCTTGACTCTGCTTCCACCACATAGACCGGACTGTCTTTGATTCTTCTGACCACAACATGAATGTCCTGTTCCCATTTGTCTGAGAGTTTGTGCTTTCCTCTCATATTAACGTTCCTGACCAAAACTCTGTCACCTGCAATGAGTTCGGCTGCTCTGACTCTCTTGTCAAACCTTGTTTTATTCTTTTGGCCCATTTTCTGAGATTTTTCTGCAGCTAAAGAATAGCTTTCTTGCAGCCGTTGACGGAGATTCTCAACATATTCACTCTGAGTCTTGTGACTTGTCTTTTCAGGTTGTATCCCCAAAATTATATCAATGGGCAGTCTTGGCTGTCTGCCAAACATCAATTCATAAGGGGAATACCCCGTAGTGTCATTTCTCGTGCAGTTATATGCTTGGACCAATGGTTTGACAAAATCCCTCCAATGGTATTTGTCTCTCTCTTCTAAAGTACCAAGCATGTCCAAGAGTGTCCGGTTAAACCGTTCCACCGGATTTCCACGGGGGTGGTATGGAGTGGTACGGATCTTGTTAGCCCCCATCATTGCACATAGCTCTTTAATCATCTTGGATTCAAAATCCCTACCTTGATCACTCAGTAAGCGGCTAGGGAAACCGTAGCAGACAATGAAATTTTCCCACAAAGCTTTTGCAATGGTTCTTGCCTTTTGGTCTTTTGTAGGCACTGCCACAGCAAACTTGGTGAAGTGGTCGGTGATAACCAATATGTTTCTTGTACCATGACTGTCTGGTTCTAGTGACAAGTAATCCATGCAGACAAGATCAAGTGGATAAGTCGATGAAATATTTGTCAATGGAGCAGCCCTTTGTGGTACGGCCTTCCTCCTGAAACAGCGTGGGCAATTCCGGCACTTTTCTTCAATTGACTTTGCCATTCTGGGCCAGTAGAATCTGGCACGAGCAAGATGTAAAACTCGCTCAACCCCAAGATGGCCCACTTCGTCGTGGAGACCGTACATAGCCCTCTCTCTAAAACATTCAGGAAGGACCAACTGTGCAACCTCATGTCCCTTATCCATCCACTTCCTGTAAAGCACCCCATCTCTTAACTCCAACCTTTTCCATTCCCTCAGGAGGAGTTTGACATCAACAGGTTCAGAAGTGATGTCAGCTAGACTGGGTTTGCTTGCCTTCTCAAGGAGAGTAATGACATGACAAAGGGAGGGATCACGTCTTTGGGCTTCACGCCAATCAGAGATTGTCATTGATTGAAGGGTGTCTTCACAAAATATTTCAGAAAGAGTTGAGGGCTCTATGATTAGAGACTCGACCGTCAAAACTTGTCCAATGTCTGAATCATGTCTGTCCTGGTAGTTCACAAGGTGACGCTGACACAATGCAGAGATCATTTCATGATCAACATCAGCACTTACTTCCTGAAGACGTTTTTTCATGTCGTCTACTCTGCTCTTCTCCTTTATGTAGTCCTCATCCTCACAGGGTGGTTCTTGCGGTCGGCGGGACAACCCATCAGCATCACGATTAGCCTGCCCTGCTCTGTACTTGATACTGAACTGGTAAGTGGACAAAGCGGCTAACCAACGGTGTCCAGCAGCATCCAACTTGGCTGATGTCAAGACATATGTAAGGGGGTTGTTGTCTGTGAATACAGTGAAACTGGAACCATACAGATAGTCATTAAACTTTTCACAAATAGCCCACTTGAGAGCTAAAAATTCCAGTTTGTGTGTGGGATAGTTTCGTTCACTTTTGGAGAGTCCACGACTGGCATAGGCAATGACTCTTAACTGTCCATCTTGCTCTTGATAGAGCGCTGCACCCAACCCATCACAACAAGCATCAGTGTGTAAGATATATGGCAGTGATGGACTGGCAAAAGCAAGTACAGGCGCAGTTGTCAACTTCTCTATCAAGGTCTGGAAAGCTTTGTCGCATTCTGAGGTCCATTCATCAGCAAGGGGCACATTAAAACTCGGAGCTGGGGTTTTTGAATGTTCTCTACGGTAAACTTTACCCCTTTTCTTTGGTGGGCAGTACCCAGCAGTCAGGTTGTTC